GTTTATAATCTGTTAAAAAACATTTACTACTAAGTAAGCAATACAGTATGACTTCCAGGATCAGACATACAGCTAAATAATCACAAGTAATTTCGAAAGTTAATAGTTATCCCCCTGGGAGCAGGAAAGGGATGTAAAGCATTAGAACAGACTGACCATGGAAGAGGTGGAGCCACCATCTCTAGAAGTGTTCAAAAACATGTGGATATGGCACTTGAGGACATGGTGTAATGATGAGCACGGCAGTGGTGCTAAATTAGTTGATAGCTGGACTTGAAGTACTTTTCCAGCTTTAATAATTCTCTGATTCTAGGATAAAAGCAAGGAGTACAAGAAAAAGCTCTGCAAAATAATTTAATGGGTTGCAGCATATAAGCATTTTTAGATCCTATCCTGTTCCTTTCAAATTATCAACTGGCTAATCATTGTTTCCTATTAAAACTTAACCTCTCTTAGTTAAATCTACCTTGCCTGTTGCTATACTTCCATGTACTCAACATATCCAGTCAGTTCCAGATAATGAATACTGCTAACAGCTCTCCTTAACTCTGAAAACCAATCACACCTTCACGTGGGAGCCAGCACTTGTCTACATACACATTGGAGAATTTGGTTTTGGCTCTTTATCTCTAGATTTCTCGTTCCTTGATAACCATTAGAACTTGGCACTTCTCCAGCATTGGCTCAGTTCTTTTTCACCTTTGAGATCTTTTGTGCTCTATTACAGGTGTATTTCAATGCATACAAAAGCATTTCAGTTCAACTTCATATCTGTGGTTCATTCAGCTACTTTTCTTTTGTAATGCTGAAAATGAGATAACCTACCAATATTCTTCATACAAAATTCAGAATGTATAGGTTTGTATCCCGATGGATAATGTTCATCTAACTGTTGTGGAGAGTGGGGGTTAGAAAGAGTGGGTTTTTCAGGGCAGGAAGGGGGCAGGTTTCTAAAGTGATGCCCTGTGTTTCACAGGTTCATACCAAGTCAGCCACTTTTTTTTTCCATATGCCCAGTGACAATCACATTTAATGTATATGTGTAGGATGTTAACAAACCCACTGTGACCCAGCCAAACTCAAGAGGGAATCTCATCTGTTTCAGTTAAACAAGAATGTCAGTACTCACAGCATAAAAAAAATAATTAAAAAAATTATGTGTATAATTTTTAGCCTATCTGAAGGTTACCTTCTTTCTATTTAGGAAAGTATTTGCTTACTGTGAGGCAGCTCCCTTTTCCTTATCTCTCTGCACCAATTGCTTCCATTAACAAGGAGATCCAAAGCAATGATAAGTTCCTGAAAAATCAGTCGTACTTTAAGCAAGGCAAAAGATAAAGAATAATTTTCAGAAATGATTATGAAATACCTTCTTCTTGGGGAAAAGCTATAAAGGTATCTTGCAGCAGATGACCATTTCCACAATTGACTTCTTGAGGGAGAGGAGGGTTCTCTGTGTTATTCATAAAATGATAAACAAATGATTTAATTTTGTACAAACAGGTCAATAAGTAATTCTACATGCTTTACATTTCTTGATCTTTAGAGTAAACTAGGGAAACTTATCTCTTAAATCTGCTTCCATTTAGCATGCTTTAAGAACAGCATCCAGAGCATGAGGAGACTACATTATTAATAGAACTTACTCATAAATCATGTTTTTTCATTTGATTTAATTGACCTTTGTGCAAACAGTACTTCAAAGGCTGCAGATGCCTTTTTGCTTATGCCAGTCAAAATTCCTTTCACAGGATTTTTTGTTTTTAAGACACAGTAGAGGACAAGTTTGCTCATTTCTTCTCTTAAGTATTCTTTAAAAATTCATAATGCTTTAGTATGAGTTTCTGCAGTGTAAAAATAGGCATCCTGTATTACAAACTCATACAAAATACATCACTAGCTTCAACATTAATGTGATATCATTCTGGAAAGACAAAAATAGCAGGCAGTCAACTGACTATACCCTAAACTGGTACATGGTTAGCTGAAGTATTCTTAAACAAAGCAGCCTATTTAAGTCAAAAACATGATGGTATGTTCTTACTGTATTACAGGAACAAAGGTACTCCATAAGTAATACTGAAGCAAGTTCCTTATAATTCTTAACCTACTCCCACTTCAACAAGAAGGAAGCAAAAACATGTTTTGGTCACACTACAAAGAATTAGCTGGAGGTTGCTCTTCTTCTCTGTTTTGCTTAATGTTGAGAACTACTTTGTGGAGCTTACACATATGTGCTTGACTAAGAAAACAAGAGATACTTTTGTAATAAACTCCAAGGCATTTTAAATACTAGTGACTTTTGTAAACCATCCCCACAAAAAAAAATTGTGTGTGTAATCTAAAAATAACTAAAAAGCGATTTTATTTTTCTGGATGTTCCCATGCACCTATCACATGTGCCAGAAGTTAGATCAGTCCTTCACAGAATTCTGTCAGTGTGCTTCATTGCATCATTTCAGATTGAAGTGCTTTGATATTCTCAAAGCAAAGCATCTCAACTTAGGGGTTACTGCAGTGAGCATGTGTTAACTTTTTTACCGCTATAGTCCTTTCCCACAGATATAAACAAGCTGCTGTTCATGTTTGATGCCTGGTATTTTGCCAAGAGAAGTGGTAATTCCTTACATTTATTTACAATGGATCCATCGCCATGATGACTTCATAAAAATCAGCTTATAATTGCAACCACTTAGTCTGCACAGAACCACAAATAGATAATTTTTAATGGAAGCATCCGTGACAAACTTCAAACAAACTACTTTTTCAGAAAGTAATTTTTGTAAAATATTGGGGTTTTTTAAAAAAAATTTCATCGTTAAATGATTATTAGAGATTATATGGACTACAGCCCTTCTCTCTTGAAATTAAAAATGGAATTCACCAAAAAAATCAACTGTCTTTCTACAGAACAGAGTGCCGGTCAAGGTATCACTGTCTGCTCTATTAAAGACAGCTAGCTTTCATTTACAAATGTTTTAACCACTATCGGGTTTAATAATAATGATCTGTTCTTTGCTACCATAACATTAGGATCATTACAAGATGTCTGTTATATAGTGTTGCATATCACCCCTTAAATTACTTGTGAGTGCAACGGTGAACCACCAGACATTTCAACAGCCATCGAGCTGAGGACATTTCTTTCAGATAAAAGTAGGTGCTGTCATTGGTTTAACAGAAGCTCTCACTAAGATTTCTGCTCATGCTTTCCACCAAGGACAAATGTTCTGTACTTCATGCATGTTGAATAGAAAGGTTGATGGATAAAGTTAGTGTTTTTATTTTAAAATCTAACTCCTTGGAAATAAAATCTACTTAAGGCAGCCCGTACTTGGTGAGTAAAGCTGCTTTTACATTGGTGATCTTGGCCAGAAACTCTGTAAGCATTCAGTCTATGTTCTAAAACCGCAGTTCCCTAAAACTTCCCTCCCGACAAGAGATAAACAGCACATCTCGGTAAACCGTACAGAAAACACACAGGTAACCTCTAGCAGAGAACGTAAGGGAGATGGTAAAAGGAAAGAGAGGGAACGTCTGACACAGGAAAAAAACCAACCAACCAACCAAAAAAAAACCACCAAAACGCTTCGAGTCTGCTTCCAGTTCAGCAAACTGCCGGAACGAGACCCGCGCCGGGCGCTCCGCGCCGACCTCGCCCCGACCCCGTGCCCCGACCCGCACCGGGCGGGCATCGGCCGGCACCGGAGCCCGGCCTGGACTGGGCACCGCAGGGGCGGCGCCGCGCCCCCGCCGGCAGCGGCTCACAGAAACACAGATCGGGTAAAGCTGGAAGGAACCACTGCGGGTCATCTGGCCCAACCTCCCTGCTCAAGCAGGGTCATTCCACAGCACATGGCACAGGACTGCGTCCAGACGGTTCTTGGACATCTCCAGCGAGGGAGACTCCACAACCTCTCTGGGTAATCTGTTCAGTGCTCAGTCACCTGCACAGTAGGGAAGTTCTTCCTCGTGTCTAGGTGAAACTTCTTGTGCATCAGTTGCTGCCCGTTGCCTCTTGTCCTGTTGCCTGGCACCACCGAACAGAACCTAGCTGGATCCTCTTGTCCCTCCCCGTTTAGATATTTTACACAGAGTTCGCAACAGACCCGGAGACTGAAGCCCCGCACTCGCTGAGCGGCTGAGCAGGAGCACTCGCCCCCTGGCGGCCTCCGCACGCCCTCAGGCCCCTTACCAGCCCTCCTCCCGCCGCCTCCCGCACCACCGCGGCCTCAGGGAGCCCGGGCCGACACCGAATGGGGTGGGGCCGACACGGAATGGGGTGGAGCCGCCACTGCTCCCCCCACCCCGCGGCCGCAGCAGGCGCTGACACCGGCGCTGATCACCGGCGCTGATCACCGGCGCGCCCGCCGCTCTTGCCCGCCCGCCCGCTCACGTGTGCGGCTGCGCGGGACGCTGGGGCCTGGCCGCGGGGGTGGTGGCGGCGGCCGTGGGTCTGCGCGTGTGCGGCGGCGCAGGCGGGCGGCGCAGGCGGGCGCGTCCGGCCGGCGGCGGAGCGGCACACGGGGGTGAGGCCCGGGGAGGGCGCGGGTGGGGGCGCAGGCAGAACCAGACCGCGGAGGGACGGAGAGAGGGAGTCAGTCCGCGCGGCGGTGCCGGTGCCCGGGCGGCGGCGCGCTGGCCCTTCCCCTGCGGCCGGGCAGAGGAGCCGTGCGGCCGGGCGGCAGTTCACGGTGCCCACGGTGAGCTGCGCGGTGCTGGCAGCGGCCAGAGTTCGGAGGACCTGCGGGACGAGGAGAGCCCGGGAGGCCTAAATGTCCTGAAATCCAGTGGGGAATTTAATTTAACTTATTTTAATTGTTTTCCCACGTATTTCCTCATCCCAGCCTGCTGAGCCTGGCAGTCCCTGCGGTCTCTTGAGAGCTGATGCCATCCTGACGCCCCTGGCGGGGAGCTGGGGCGAGGGGACCCCTGGGCTGGTGTTCAAAGGCCTTTCGATGCCCCCGCTCCCCCTTTGCTTGTGTTAATTCCCCATGCCCGGCCGGTCTCCTACCACGGAGGCCTTTGTTCAAAGCTTCCGTGGCGGCTGTGATGAAGCTGTTCAGAGCTTACCTTGTTCCCACTTGTCTCTTGCGAGGCACATGAGGTGAGTTCAGCGTTGCTGGTGTCTCACAGGCAGGCTGATCGGGAAGGCATGAAATTCCTCGGGGCTGCCCCGCATGCTGGGAGGTTGAGAAAGCACAAAACCAGTTCGAAATAACTGATCGGCGGACTTTAAGACCTATGTTTCACTCTGAAGTTGCTTAACATTCGTGCAGTAATTTTGATACTGCTTTCTGCTGAAGAAATCAGAGGAAATAAACCCTTTTTCACAAATTCGTTTGAATACACTTCATATGAATAACACTCGCTTGTGATCAGTTTTACAGTTCCCTCTTTTTAATTCATTTTGCAGAACAATAGGAGGATGTATAGTTTAATAGCATAAAAGAACAAAAAAATCCCTGTGATATCTGCATCTGTTGTAAGGGAGGACTTCTTTATGCTTCCCATTTTATTTCTAATTTGACAGTACACTATGTGGCTCTGTACAGCTGATGTTTTGGTGTCCTTAGGTTTTGACGTTTCACAGCCCACAAGCTAGTTGTAGAGAAATGATGAATAAGGAAATGATTTTTTAAAATATTCTTCTATTAATAAGGTTGGATTTGTTGGTTTTATGTGACAGTAGTTGTTTAAATAAAATCCGGTTAGTAAGTATCTCTTTCTCACCTAATTCTTGAAAAAAGATATTCCCGTGAAGCACTTTCTCTAATTTGTGCAAATGTATGGTGTCTCTGGTAGGGATTTAAAGGTGCAGCATCATGGTTATGAAAGCTTCAGTAGAAGATGATGATTCAGGATGGGAACTCGGTATGCCTGACAAGATGGAAAAGAGTAATACAAGCTGGATAGATATAACCCAGGATTTCGAAGAAGCTTGTAGAGGTGAGTTGTATTCCTTGTGTTCTCAGAAAACTTGGAATCCCTTGGAGTACCAGGCATAGTGATTTGAGGTCTTCTAGTCTATAGTTTGACCCAGATTCAAGCCTCAGATGAATGAGCTACATTGATTCTGTGTTAACTGTGAGGATAGAAATGCCAGAACCACCCCACCTTGCTCCTTTTTCCAGATTACATAAATATCTTTTTAATTCACTTTTTGTCTTACACATTTTCTCACCTGCTTTTTTTCCTTTGCAAAGATTTCTTCTTGTCTCTTCTGCCAAATGGAAATATCATTCATGCATGCGGAATCAAGACTTTTTTCTTTCCTGTATATTTTTGGATCTATAGGGTCCAAGAATTCATTTAATTCATCTTGTCATCTCTGAAGCAAGGCTGAGTTTCTGAAATGATGTAATGCATCCCAGTAACAGAGAAATAGTTGCTTGCATTTAAACAGTGCCTTTATTGTTGTTAGATGCTACTGCTAGTTTACAGTTCTTCAACTGATTTTATGATGACATTAGTGAAAAATAAATATAAAACTGCAGCTTACCACGTGCATTGTTACATGATGATAAACACAATTTCTGTATGCCATCAGATAATTTCCGTATATTACTTATATCTGTATACTTATCAAATGTATCTAAAGACTTCTTTAAAAGTAATGAGGAAAAGCAAGCCTTTCAGTAGTCTCCCCTGGAAAAGATTAAGACACCTGCTCAAAGGAGCACAGGAAACGGCTCATACTGCTATTTCATAGAATAATCATCATAGAATGATTTGGGTTTGAAGGGACCATCTTGTTACAAATCCCCTGCCATGTACAGGAGCATCGCCTACCAGAACATCCAGCCTCATCTTAAATGCTTGCAGGGATGGGGCATTCACAACTTTTCTGGGCAAGCTGTTCCAATACCTCACCACTCTCACAGTGAAGAATTTCTTCAAATATCTAAAACTCTTTTAGTTTAAGAGCATTCCCCCTTGTCCTATCACTGCATGCCCTTGTAAAAAGTCCCTTCAGCTCTCTTGTAGCCCTCTTTCAGGTACTGGAAGGCTGTTAGAACGTCTCCCTGGAGCTGTCTTTTCTCCAGGCTGAGCAGCCCCAGTTCTTTCAGCCTGTCTTCATAGGAAAGGTGCTCCAGCCCTCAAGTCATTTTTGTTATTCTCATCTGAAGTCACTCAACAGGTCCCTGGTGTTCTGTGCTGGGGACCCCAGACCTAGACGCAGCACTCCAGGGGCGGTCTCACGAGAGCAGAGCAGAGGGGCAGAATCATTTCCCTCTACCTGCTGGCCATGCTGCTTTTGATGCAGCCCAGGATATCAGGTTTCTGGACTGCAACTGCACAGGGTGTTTAGTAATTCTAAACTCTCTTTTAACTATTAGAATAACAGAGAGAAATGAGGGTAGACTCTGAACCACTGGGTTTCTTATAGTCTTTCAGTCTTGAAAGTGCTTTGTAAGTAGAAGCAAACGAGGGTCAAATGGAAATGTCTGATCTGCTTCCCAAACCTTGTTTCTTAGCATCAGAGGGTTTGGTGAGTGACAAGACTATGCTGGAAAAGTTATGCTATCAGGATGATTGTAACTGTTTATTCTGTCCTGTTCCTTTATAGAACTGAAGTTAGGAGAACTGCTTCATGACAAGCTGTAAGTATGCACGGGGGATAGTTTTCATTTTTAGGTAGGATCAGTCCAAGTATGTTAATATTTCCTGATAACTAATCTTTTTAAACTTCAAATAAAATATTTGAAGTATTCAGAGTATCATTTTCCCTCAGCAGTATGTATAAGCTGCACATGTATGAATGCTGAACAATTCTCGTGGTGTCAGTATAACATGACATTTTCAATGAATTAATATATTTTAGAAGTTCATTGCACATCTTATGATCAGTGCTGATGACACTACTGAACCTGCTGAACTATTTTATGTGGATGTGCTTTTATAAAAAAAATGCCAGAAAGACTTTAATACTTTTAAGTTGGTTGCCTCAGATGTCATTATCAAGTTTAGTATGAACAATCCATATGCTTTAATGTAACTTAAATGACATGCTAAAACAGAAAGTGAGAACTCTACAGATTGAGAAAAAGTATATTTCAAAAAAAGGCATGTGCAAAAGGCTTGCTGAATTCATTAAAGAAAAGATTAAGTTGTTTAGCCACACAAATCTATTTACTTGCATAAAGCAAAAAGTGCTTATTTGAGACTAATAGCTCAGAAAACAGAAGCACACTATTAAATCAAAACCTGTTCAAAAGTATGTGCAAGGATGTCACCATGCTCTGTAGAATTAAAGCACATTTTCAGGTTTAATTTTATACATAACAGCATTTCAGACCAAATCCACTTCACAGAATTTAAGTGTGCCACATGCAATAACCTTTTTATATTATAAAGACTGGTGCAGCAGTTCTGATAAATGTCATATGCACCAGAAGCGAGACACTGTACCCCTTCTTCTATAATTGTCTTTATTTGATGTGGTTCTTCTGCAAGCTCCTATGCCCTGACTGCAAGTTCAATATACTGCTGAATATGCTAGCCTGTGCCAGATATATATTGTCATTAGTTTGTGGGGGACGTATCTTATTTGGTTTTTTGGATGTGGTGTAATAAAGAACAGCTTGTTCAGTTAATACTAGTTTATTGTGTTAGGTGATCTTTAAAAAGGTGCTGTCATTATGAGGTGTATAGAAACAAGTATGCATAGATGTAGTAGTGGGATATTTAGCTCAGGAGTGGTTTTCAGCTTTAAAGAAAGACAAATAGTTTTCTTCTACTTTCAGCCATCTGTTTTCCTACTGACTTGTTGAGAGATCCTCAAGTTGTGATGATCTGAAGATCAATACTAAAGTTCACATACTTTATTGTCTGTGGTCAGAATCTAGTGTACTCAGTTTGTCATCATATGCTTTTACATTAGTTTTTGAAGACTGTTTTGTATAAAACAGTTACATTCAGCATGTTTTTTTTTTAATCTGTGTTCTTAGTTTTGGTCTCTTTGAAGCCATGTCTGCCATTGAAATGATGGATCCCAAGATGGATGCTGGTATGATTGGAAACCAGGTTAACAGAAAGGTTCTTAACTTTGAGCAAGCTATTAAGGTTCGTGTGAATTTCCTAGTTTTGCATACCCTGTCTGTGAAAATATGATACAGTTTTATGAAATTACAGTTAAGCACAATTCAGTATAATTAATGTTTTCAATCTTTACTTGTTATTTTTTTTATTACCCAAAATTAAAATAAAAAAAAGTAAGAAATAGCTTGTGATGTTTACTTTTTCTTTTTTTAATTTTGTTTCCTGCATTATCATGATGCTAACTCTTCAGTGAAAAGTACTGTGAAATTGTTGTGTATTGATACCTCAAGTAAATATATTTTAGAAATGGTTTTGCAAGTCACCCTATGCATTCCCAAAATGTGTCTTTCATGTGAAGATGTATTTGTTAGCCCCTATTTAGCTGAATGGAAGCCAGCTTCCTTACAAAAGTCAGAATTAACACTTCATATATTATCAGTTTATTAGCATTGAACACAAGCTGAGTAATTTGACAACATTGACAGTAATGATTAACTTTTGATTTATGGTCAAGATAAATTGGGTTAGGGCAGATTGAAAGACTTTCTGTTATTTTGGAAAAAAAAATGCACTCAAAGGCAAAAGTATTTTTTATGGTGGACTTTGTTTCAAATGGACTAAGAGAACTTAGAATGTATGCAGGATTGTATGCACTGGACAAATAAAATGATCAGATACAGCTGCAGCCTTTTTGGTCCTGACAGTAAAACTGTACAAGTGTTTGCAGTTTAAAAAGCAGTTTTCAAAGAATTGGTCCTGCATATTATCCCTTGTTCAATCTTTATTATGATTATACATACTATTTTGTGATTTTAGTGTTGACAGTTAACTGGTTTTAACCTTCTATTGTCTACTTATAAGTCAGAAATGGTACTTTAGCATTCTCTTTGAGTAGCTTTATGTTTGTTCAGTGTTTAACACAATGATAGGAAGGCAAAGTTTTTCAGAATTTGAGACATTGTGAAGCTGATCAGTAAAGCTAGTGACATACAATTACTCTGAAATCTTAAGAAAATTTTAATTTTTGGCTGTACAAATAAGTTGTATTTTGCCTATATACTTCCACAGTGTTTAGGGTTTTTTCCTTGTTTTTTTAAGGATGGCACCATTAAAATAAAGGATCTCACTTCACCTGAGCTGGTAGGAATAATGGATACATGTTTTTGTTGTTTGGTAAGCATTTCTCTGTTCTTCAAATTAGGTGGTTAGGCTTAGAAAATATATGCATTTTATTTTAATTTCCACTTAGTTATTTGCATTGGCTATTATAAAAGGCATAATATTGATTTCTTGTTGTTTTACTATAGGAAATATGAATAATTTTAAATTATTTAAAAAAAGGTTTTACAGTTTCTTGTTTTATGACTGTGTGTTATCCTATTGCCTGCTGTGTTTTGGTGTTTGACTGTGTTGGAAGCCGAGTGTGCAGTAACTTGTAGCACTTTGTTGCTCCTTTCTGTACAGCCATAATTGGCTGAGCTTACAGGGGCATTTTGAAAAAAGAAAATAAATCCATTTAGAAAAAACAAGTAAAGTATCACTTACTTGCTAATTGTGAATTTTTTCCCTAGGTATGTGTTTTAATTACCTCAGTAAATGATACTAATTTTCAGTTACTCTTTAAAATTATATCCATAACATTACTTTGTTTTTTAAAACATTTCAAATTAGTTTAGTCCAAAAGACATCTAAGGATGACTGTACATCTGATATGGTGTAATGTAATTTGTCTTCTGCCCCTAGCCCCCAAAGTGCACTTTTTTTGAAAAGGGACAGTGATCATATTAAAAATATGGTCCTACTTTAGAAATTTAAATTTAAATTTAGATTACAGAAGCTTTCCCTGTAGCTTAAAGCAATGTGAAAGTAGAGAGGGGGGATTGTGAAAGAAGCTCTAACTCACAGAAGAGAGAGAACATGCAGAATATTAGTGAGTTGTTTCATAGCCACTTGCATTTCTTCATTCAGTATTTGTATAGAAAAAGCTTTTAAATCTGATGGTCTCTTGACTTAATGTCATGTCTAGATTGCAGAGATTAGACCTGAACTTTATTGAACACTAGAATTTTAGGCTTGTTATAGGCTTTAGTAACTTCTTATCTGCCACAGCCATCAGATGGATAAAGGTTGAAACACCTTCACTTGCCCTTTTTTGGTAGATGGAAAGTTACCATAGTAAGGAGTTCTTTAATGAGTCTTTGAAGCACAGTAAGACGGAAAAAGAATGGATCTATAAAAATGAGGATTTGACTGTCATGAGTAAAACACCTAATTTTCTTTTCTCTAGATAACATGGTTAGAAGGACATTCCTTGGCACAGACAGTATTCACTTGCCTTTATATTCATAATCCAGACTTCATAGAAGATCCTGCTATGAAGGCTTTTGCTCTTGGGATCCTAAAAATCTGTGATATTGCCAGAGAAAAGGTTAACAAAGCAGCTGTTTTTGAGGAGGTATGTGTTTTAGTATCTCCTATGGTTAAGTATATAAACAGTCTGGTAGGATGTCACTTGATGAAAATATGAAAGGCATATTGGTATTAAGGATTTATGCAGAAAATAGTTACCTCAAGCTGGATTTGGGCAAGAAAGTCACCCAAGCCATTGAGTATATTCAGTTGCATAGAATAAAACTGGACATTTATACTTGACGGAGTTAAACAAAAACACACCCTGTGCACACACCCACCCATCCCCCCAAAAAAGAAAAACCAACAAAAGACCCAAAACCCAAGAGGAAAACAACCCACCAAAACCCAAAACAAACAAAAAGACAATCCCAAATCCTAACCTGATAATGTAGCTACAATTTTTTATATTTCACTACGTATTTTCCTTGATTTTTTTTTTAGGAAGATTTTCAGTCAATGACTTACGGATTTAAAATGGCCAACAGTGTGACAGATCTTAGAGTTACAGGTACAGTTTGTGCTTTCTGCGTATCTGTCCATCAGTCGCTTTCTCTTCTGAGCATCTGATTACTTTCAGCCACACCTGATGAATTGGTATGAGTCTCAGCTGTTAAGTTTTTCTATTAGTCATGTGGAAATTGCTGAGTAGGTGAAAAGAGATCAAATTATTTTTCCTTGAAGAAAAGATTCAGCTAATTGTTACGAGAAAAAGAAGTGCTTTTAGATACAATGACAAAGTGACTGGGCATGAGCTCATCATGAGATGGATACAGGTGACTGTAAAGTGCACTGCTTGAATTCTGCTTTTTTGCCTTACAATTTGTTGTCTTCAAAACAGGTTGCTTTAGAATAAAGTGCATTCTAGTAGTTCTACAACTATAAATATGTATGTTATTAGGTACATAATATGTATTTTAGTCTTTTGATGCACCTTTTTTCATACCTACATTAGTTTGCTATTGATTTATTTTTGAGAAATTTGTGAACACTTTAGCTTTGAATCAGTTGGTCTGTACTCTGATTTTTCAGTTGTTGCATGACATCCCTACCCATCCCTACAAGAATATTTTTTGTCTAGTCTCTAGCTAATGTAAAGCACTCCTAAACTTGACTTTCCCCTCAAAACTTTTTTCCTCTGGGTGATGTAGGTGTGCCTGGGAGTGCTTCTCAGCTTTTAATTCTTCTGTCTCTTTTTCCAGGTATGCTGAAAGATGTAGAAGAGGACATGCAAAGACGAGTGAAGGTATTGTTTTCACATTCGCCTTGTCAATTATATTTCAAGTGTACTTAACATAGGTTTGGGAGAGGGAGTTGGATTATGAGGAATGCAGGAGGTTTGTGTCATTAAATGGTGGGGTTTTTGAAGAACTGCCATAATAGTTTGTGTAACATGCTTTTAGTGTGACTTTTAGCTAAAGATAGGGAAGTCTTCGGACTTCTCTGTACTCTTTAGTAGTTGCTTCACTAGTAGAAGGTGGAATCATGATGTAGAAGATAACACTGGGCTGGGGCACAGAAAGGATGAATGTAACTTCTGGTTTCTAGGCAGATATATTATGTAATGTTAAAGAAGTTATGTAATTTTCCTTTACCACAGTTTACACTATAAAATGTTCATGCACTTTCCTTGCTTATTTGCAGAGTTTACTGAGATACATCTCATTACTGTAGGAGAGTCATTCAAATACCTGGACTATATATTAAGGAATTTTGAACTTGAGAACTGATTTTTGGCTTATTTAACAGATGGACGTTCTGGAGAGGGTAAAGGAATTTTATCAGTAGGTTGCCTTTGCTATTCTTGATAAATTATTTGAAATTTCTTTACCTTCTAGAGCACTCGAAGTCGACAAGGAGAAGAGAGAGATCCAGAAGTTGAACTTGAAGTAATTAATTGTTTGCTTTTTTCCCTGGATTTCTTGGATGTAAAGGGGAAATCTAAATGTGATATAACCACACCCCTGCATATAAAAAGCAGCCTGGGGAGTGTGATCAACCAGTAACATGTGGAAGAGCCGGCAAACAGAGCAGGGCACATTAGCCAGGGCATGCTGAGGCAGTTGGTGTGACAGTTCATGCAGGGAGGGCAGGAGTCCTCTGGGCAGTTTTGGGTGCTACAATATAAAAAGGTTATAAAGCTCTTAGGAAGCATCCAAAGGAGGGCAGTGAAGATGGTGAAGGGCCTTGAGGGGAAGCCGTATGAGAAGCAGCTGAGGTCACTTAGTCTGCTCAGCCTGGAGAAGAGGAGACTGAGGGGAGACCTCATTGCAGTCTACAACTTCCTTGTGAGGGGAAGAGGAGGGGCAGGCACTGATCTCTTCTCCATAGTGGTCAGTGACAGGACCTGAGGGAATGGCCTGAAGCTGGGTCAGGGAAGTTTTGGCTGGATATTAGGAAATGACTTTTCATGCAGAGGGTACTTGGGTACTGCAACAAGCTCCTTAGGGAAGTCACAGCACCGAGTCTGACAGAGTTCAAGAAGTGTTTGGACAACATTCAGACGTGGTGTCATTCTTTGGGTGGTCCTGTGCAGGGCCAGGAGTTGGGCTGGCTGATACTTGCAGGTCCCTTTCAATTCAATATATTCTATGATTCTAGATTTAATGCCTATTGCTTAGTAATTAGCAGTATAATTTTATTACAGCATCAACAATGTTTAGCTGTGTTCAGCAGAGTCAAGTTTACCCGGGTACTGCTGACTGTTCTAATAGCATTTACAAAAAAAGAGGTATGTTCATTTGGTGTTTCTGTGTTCACATTGTGATCTTGTGAAGTATCATTTTCGTGAAGATCAGGCAATTATTCTCTAGATTAAGGAGATTTGAATTGATGTGGGTGCAGGTAAAGTGTTTAAAAAGGCCTTATGGCGGCAAACATTCAGTTTTTGTTCAAACACAGGGAAGGCTAGTAGCTGACGTTATTATGGCCTTGCAGAAAGACAGAGTATTCATTATAAAACACTTAAAAATATTTATGGATTTCAAATTATGCTTTTCACACACATGAACAAAACTTTTCTTACTTGATTTCAGTCCCCTCCTATGGAGTTACCTGACATTGAAGTGTTTTGCCCATCTCTAAAGAACTATTAGCTTTTCCTTGCATGCGATACTGAATTTGTACCCAGACATCTTTGGTCTGAGAAGAGGAATTAAAATAGCATTCCATGAAATTTGCCTATTTTTTTGAATATATGATTTCCTTATTGCTGAAAGGGGAAGGAACTTCCCGAGTTAAGGCAAAGGGATAGAATCACGTACTCCCAAAGAGTAGTCTTTCACATAGTGAATACAAGACTTCCAGTTGTAATTATTGTAAAGTCTTATACAGTATTGAATGTATGTATAGATATGTAAAATAGAAAGAATGTTATTGCACAGAAATGTTGGATTTATTGTTCAGAATTGGTTGTATAAGAACATCAGAACCCTAATATTCTTTTTTCTTATACTAGCATTAGTTATATAGTCAAAATATATTGGTTCATAATGTGAATAATTGTTTCCTGCCTTTCAGATGAGTGCAGTTGTGGAAGCTCAGAAACTAATGACTCAGGCAGCTGACTTGCTTTCTGCTATCCACAATTCATTGCATCATGGTATGCAGGCACAGAATGATACCACTAAAGGAGGTATGTATCAAATTATACCATTTTTCCTTTCTTAAATATGCTCTCTTCATAAATGTAAATATCTTTGTGTATTTAAAAGAAGTTAAAATCACTGTTTACTTTGAAATAATAACACTCATTATACAAGTTGTTACACATTTGCATTCTTTGATTTTAATTTTATTTCACTAAATGGTGGTTCTCCTGAAAGCAATACTGTCAATTCATAGCCAGAGATAATGTGAACTTTTGGTTAAGTGCATTGCACTTCAAATCGGTGCATATGTTATTTTAAAATAGGGAACAGCACCTCACTGTTTCTACAGGTATGTGTGGAGGGTTGAGGGTTTTTTTAAAATAGTAATCAGTGTCTTAATTGGGTAGTTAGAGTCTCTGTAAGTTAATTCACAGATAAAAACTTCATTTTGGCCAGTTGAATTATTTGTATTATACTTGCAAGTTTGAAGTAAGTTCTGAAAACATGGCTTATATGCACCTTTTCTCTGTCTCTATCCCCTTCTCCTTCATTAGATCATCCTATTATGATGGGCTTTGAACCCCTGGTTAATCAGAGATTGCTGCCCCCAACTTTTCCTCGATATGCAAAAATAATTAAAAGGGAAGAAATGGTCAGTTATTTTTCCAAACTAATAGACCGAATAAGAACTGTATGTGAAGTAGTCAACTTAACTAATTTGCACTGTATACTGGTAAGCATTAATATTTCTTATTTATTGCCAAACATAAGATCTGAAAATGTAACTTGCAAAAAATCATTTCATATATGCATGGTGTTGCTCACTGGAGAGAAAACTGAACGCTGTATATGTATTTGGTGTTTCTCGTAGTGTACAATTCCAAAGTTTACTGTCTTTCCTGATATTTAATATTTTTCTTTTTTTGACAAAGACCTTTTCTCCTCTGAAACCTCTCACTTTTCCTGTAATTTATGAGGTAATTATACATGTTAGTGGTAGAGGCCAAGCAAGTTTCTTTGGTTGAAGAGCTGCATTTATAGCATCAGATTATAATTCTTTGCTATATGCCTGATTTTTTCAGATTGATTAAGCATACTCTGCGAATGTGCTTACAACATGAGAGCACTTAATACACACTTGTTTAAGTGTGTAATTTCCTAGATAGGCATAAAGTTAAGCACCTGCTTATGTTTTTTCTTGAGTAAGTGATGTTACTCTCAGTTACTGCCTACAATTATGAGAAGACACTTGAATGCTTGAAATATTTTTTACTATACATGTGGTCACTGACTGAGAAAACAGACACAGTTAAATCAGTTCAAAGATCAAAAAAGATCTTTTGTCTTCCTATTTCCCATTAAATTAATTAAAGCAGTGTTTGCATGAAGCATGTGGTATCAGTTAAACATTACAGTTTGTTCAATACCTGGTTTGGTCATGTCAAGATCTTAAAGGTTTCACAGTGTTTTTTTCTGTACTATAATCATCTTTCCAGTTGTTACATTTGAAAATTCAGAAACCTTTTTGTTCTGTTAAATAACATGTAATTGCAGAAAAAAATGGATTTTATCTTCATAATCTGTTCTGTTCAAATTATTCATGGTCACTTTCTTACAAGTTGTATAAGCTATGTTATGTTTGCATGTACTTTATACAAAATAGAGGTGTATCTACACAGTTACGTATGTGTGTTTATAAGAGATGCAAATGTGTGTGTGTGTATAATAATGTCACTCTGTGTTTATATATACATAGCTAAATTGACATATTAACATGAATTGTCTTTTTTTTTCCTAAATATAAATTAGGACTTCTTCTGTGAGTTTAGTGAGCAATCACCATGTGTTCTTTCAAGATCCCTGTTACAGGCAAGTCCTAATCTATGTCTTTGAATAAAATACTTTTGGATTCATTATAAATATGGATTTTCTGGTGATGTTTAAGTATTAGGTATTATGGAAGGAATCCTTTGTTGTGAGGATGATGAAGAGTTGGAACAGGTTGTCTAAAGAAGTTGTGGATACCCCATCAAGTGTTCAGGGCCAGGAAGGTGTCCCTGCCCATGGCAGAGGAGTTGGAACTAGGTGATATTTAAGGTCCCTTCCAATGCAAAGCATTCTCTGATTGTATACATGGAGGCTTATGATCTGATCTAATATTTTAAAACATTTTTAAATACTGTTGCTTAGATCATTTTAACACATGCTAATTTAAAACAGAAAGTGTTAAAATTTTTCACTGCCATAATGCTGTGCCTGTACACACATTTTTATGCTGTTCTCCGTATGCTGTCTTAGTTTGGGGCTAGTGTTTGTATTCATCACTGTTTGGACAGAATTTAATGTATAGATGGCCTCTATTGCTACAACAGTAAACCTGATGGCTAGTGCAGAACTTCTCACTGCTTTACTTACCTTAAAAGTGCATTCCTCAGTTCTGAATAAATAATTCCTTATAAGAGGTTTTGATTATAGTAGGGTGTCCCTTGATGTCAGAACTTCTTTACATTTGATCCCTGTTAAGCCATGTATAGAGCCAGTGGAATATAACTATTGGCAAGTAGAATGCGTTCATAGTGTGTGTGTTCTGCCTTTCTGCCACGTGAGTTCGTGCAGTCCTTGTGGATGCAGAGATTTATCTCCAACTGCTGAAGAACCATGTAAGAAAGGGGCACAGCGCTTGTGGAGGGAAGTTAAATAAGGATCAGACATGACCAATGAAAGCAGTAGTATCCATTGGGGTAGAAGAAAGTCTGCAGTAGTCTGTAGATTTGTTTTTATCTGCCTCCAGAGAAGGCACATAATCTATTTCATGCCAATCTTCAGAAATATCTGTCTGATTTATCATCTTCAAAGTGGAAGAAATAAAATAATTTTGCGTGCATTGTGTTATGCAAGTAGCAGAGCTGTATTTTTTGTCCTGGGAATACCATAAAAGTGTCAGATCTCAATATGCCTCTATTTCTGAGTCTGTAGCCTTGGACCTAGTTGAACCATTTCAATTCTAAAAGGAATCTTACAAGTTTCTTATATATAATATATACTGTAAGAGCTTTCTATTAGTAATTCCTAGTGCATTACTTTTGACTTAAAATATATTCCTAAAAACACATTTTTACTTTCAGACAACTTTCCTAGTAGATAATAAGAAGGTGTTTGGCACTCACCTCATGCAAGACATGGTGAAAGATGCTTTAAGGTCTTTTGTCAGTCCTCCAGTCCTTTCTCCAAAGTAAGTGAATCTTGAGTTTACGCATTTGTTTACATCTCTGTTGAAAAAATATTTCTGCTTACAAGAGCAAGGACAAATGCACAAAAAAATATTAATTTTTTGTTTAGTGATTATGTATGAAGGAGTCAGTTGCTGTTGCTGCAACTAGTGCTGTTCCTTTTTTAATTTTGTACTACTTAGACTGGTGACATTTATAAAAATATGTCTGTACACGGATATTTCTCTTTTAGATGTTGTCTTTATAATAATCACCAGGCGAAGGACTACATTGATTCCTTTGTGACACATTGTGTTCGGGTAAGTGATCGTTCCAGTTACAGCATGTTTATGTGTATATGAGCACCTTGAAGATTTGCATACATTTGAACATGAGACCAATTAATTTAGACACTTGACATGATGGCAAAATTGCAGAAGTTGACTATTTTAAAATGGTAACACTTTTTAAAAAGCCAGTCTAGTTATTGATGCTTTTTTCCTGTGTTCTTCTTCTAGATTTTTATTTAACATTTTACTTTGTTAAAAATCTGCACCTTCTACCTCTTTACAAGGTAGTTTCATGTAACAAAACAAATGCATAGCATGTGTAAAAACAAAGTTATTTTTACCTTCTCTCAAATTTAATTTTTTTAAAAAATTGTTTTAAAAGATTCAGTTGTTGAATATGGCACAGTAAAAATCTCAAGAAAATCACAGAATTATTTAGGTTGGAAAAGACCTCTTAAGATCATAGAGTCTAACCCAGCACTGCCAAGTCCACCACTAAACCATGTCACTAAGTGCCATTGACCACCTAGGCGCATGGATTTAGGCATAAGAAATATCTCATTTACACCAGGCATTTTGTTCTGATCACATTCCTAAAGGATGCTCACTCAATCTCACGTTGACTTGTGTACAGAGATATGGGTTCTTGCATCCCTCCAGAGACCTTGCTTTCCTGCTGCTTGCGCTCTGTAGGGAGCGTTAAGTAACACACCTCCTGATACAGATATATAGAGCAGGTGTCTAAGTAGACATCATAGTACTCCTCCTTTACTTTCAAAGTTGTGTTGATAATTTAAAATGATGCTTTGCTTCTTTCAGCCATTCTGTAGTTTGATTCAAATCCATGGACACAATAGAGCTCGTCAGAGAGATAAACTGGGTCACATTCTTGAGGAATTTGCCACCCTACAGGATGAGGTAATGTCCTAGGCAGCAGGCCAGCAAAGTTTCTTTCCAGATATATTCCTACTGGAGTGAAGCATGTGGTATTAGATCCTAGCTGCATGAAGCAAGTCCTCTTTAGGACAAGGATTCCTAAAATTTAGCCCAAGAAATCAGTAGGATTTCTGTTAGATCTGTTAACAAAAACATTACATTTTTTGAGATTAACTTTGTCCAGTACGTAGACTTCAGGGAAACCTGTTGTGATGTAATCTGATGGTAACTCCACTGCTTTTAGTCTCTATTCTGCTTGTGACTGTCAGTCTGGAAGATATAACCAGGGGGAGATAGACAAGCCATGCTGACAATATACCTTTGAAAATTTAGCCTTATAGCTATGTCAGGTGTAAACTGCAAAAGTAAAAAATAACCCTTCAAAATACGTGCTCTGACTGATTTTGAACATTTCTGAAGAATGAGAAGGGAATCATGAGTTAAAAATATATTTTCACTTGCTGGAAATCTTTTTCCAGTAGCGAGAGTCATAAAATAATAAAATATTTCCCAAGATATGCACAGTAAGAACAATTGAGGACCTTGGAGGTGGGGATGAAATTTTGTGTGCTCCAGCTTTTCTCAAGATAGTTTGATTGAGTTTGTTACAGTACCGCAGCTGAGACACTGTTTTTTCGTTTTGTAGCCAGTTACATGAATTGTTCTGTTCAGGACTACTGTTAATGTTCCAACTGTGGGAGACTTTATGTCTTCCATACAATTCTTAAGACAAAATTGGTCTTAGCAATATTTTAGTTAATCTGATGGGACACAAAGTGTTTCTTGCATGTCAAGCTTACAAATAAATTTAATGTTTCAATGCAGCTAGGCTAAAAAAAAAAAGAGAGAAGTAATTATTGCCAATATAGAAAAATAAACAACAGTGTGTAATGGGTTCAGTGCTCACATGACTGCTAATGATCTAGATACCAATACTTTAAAAATTTGAAATTTAAAATACCTAATGTTCTTGCTACACTGCTATTTGAATATTGTTATTCTGTGCAGCAGAATTTAATTATGTGAATATCTTTCCAGTTTTCTGACAGTTCTAGACTATAGAAGTGGCAGTATCTGTAAAGGCATATTTCAGTCTTGTAATCTGGAGCATGACTTTACTGACCCAAGTTGTATTCACATTTTGTTAGGATTTTATTTCTGGCAGAACCTGGATATTGTTTCAGTCAAATGTTCTTCCTCCCCGTCTGTTACCTTGCTGTCTTTTTATTGATAGGCAGAGAAAGTAGATGCAGCGCTTCATAGTATGTTACTGAAGCAGGAACCACAAAGACAACATTTGGCTTGCTTGGGCACCTGGGTCCTATATCATAACCTTCGTATTATGATACAGTATCTTCTCAGTGGCTTTGAGTTGGAACTTTACAGTATGCATGAATATTACTACATATATTGGTAAGAAGATTCTTTATTGGCAGCTGTTCAAGGAGGGATGCTCCCACAGAGCTATAATTGCAAATATTTGACGGAGGGACTCCAAATATGATTTTATAATCTCAGGGTTGCTCAACACTGTTTGGTTTTTCTATTTATAATATTACAGAAGGAGAAAAAAATGTTGTTAGTCTCTTTCCTAGGCTTACTAAGTAGTGTATTTTTTTTCCTGAAATAGTAATTGACTCTCTCTTTAGCTTTTTAAAACAGTGTCTTGTATAGACAATGAATGAAAAATATGTTGACTTTTGGCAGACAGGAGAAAAGCGATTTCTTTTATTCTTTTATGTTGTTAAAGTACCAAGATCACTAGTCTTGTTGATCTCTAGTATTTTTGAGAAGGTCTCCAGTTTTAAGTTATGACTGTAATTTGAAAATTGACTAGTTAGTTAACATCTTATTCTGTGAATATATTTGAAGAGACATCTGCCTTTAGTGAAAATGATTGCAGTACATGGAGACAAAATACTTTTTACTTTTCCACTTTCATTCACATTAATTATTTGTCATAGTTGATTGTTTGGTCTGAAAGATAAATTATTTTCAGATGGTTCATTTTTGAATTAGCATTAAAAATCTGATGATGAACCTTCCTCTGCTAAAGTGTTTCTATACTTTGGTGGTTTGTTTTTTGCTCTAATTTGTTTGAGTTTCTTTTTTTTTTTTTCTGTAAAGCTACCGAAAGAATCCTTTGTAAGCTGCAAACCTTCTTATCGAGAGATTAAAATAGTTGAAATTACATAAACTTCAGTGCATTTCATTATGTTTCTATGTTGTTTCAGTAGTGGATTAAGTATTAAATGAGAACATTAATACTAGTTACCAGAAGATGGCAATATTCTTTAGGTAATACCTCAATAAGTAATGCCAAATTTTTTGTGAGACAATATTTGTTATACCTGCTTGTATTTCCCTTTTAATAAAATCCCTTTTAATTGGAATTGTCATGTCAGCTGCTTTATCTCTTTAATGTAAGCGAAGAACAAAAAGTAGAAGAAATTTCAGAGGGGAAATATGCAAATGAAACTCAAATTTCTCAGTATTTTTTCTTCTGAATTGTGACTTCTTATGAACTATTACTTATTTTTCATTGTGCTCCAAATCTGTATTTTTTTCTACTCTCTTTTTCCCCCCTTATTCCTTTTGAAGTCAATCAAGATATTTATTGAATCAGCTTCCACTATTGCTCTTAAAGATGTATCTTAAATCTGAAAGAATTGCATGTGGATGTTGTGCTTCTGTGGGCTTGGCCTCTTTATGTAATAATTCATGGCTTTTTAATGCCTGAAAAAAAATCAGTAATAATCTTGTTTCTTGAAATAATGCATAACAAAAGTAGAAAAGGTATTAACATAGTAGTTTTTTAAAAAATTCTTCATTTGCTGGGAGAAGGAAGAGTTCTAGAAAAATTTGATCTTAAATAGGTTTTGAAATAATAAGAAGCTTAGACTTCACTTTGTAAATATGTAAGAAACTTGTATACTTTGAGCTGTCTGTGGTAGAATGTGTACGAAGTCTTGTTTAAAATAGAAAAAGACACAAACCAGAATAGGAAGGTAGACTGATCTGTTGATTTCAGCCATGCAAAACAAAGAGTTTTAATTGCCCGTGAAACCTGTCCTTTACTAGGACACATGCTTTACATCTTGGAGGAAATGACTTGGCATTGAGCAGGTGTATGTGCATTATGAGTACATTCTGCAGTGCAATATGTAACACTCCATACCATTTTCACTCTAGGTACCTGTCAGAGTTCCTCTATGCCTGGTTGATGTCAACACTGAGCCGCGCTGACAGCGCTCAAATGACAGAGGAAAGAATAATGGAGGAGCAACAGAAAGGACGTAGTAGTAAGAAAACAAAGAAAAAGAAGAAAGGTACTTAGGTCTAGAGTGTAACTCAAAGACTTTTTTTTTTTCCCCTTTTATGCAGCCATGTAGAATTAAAATTAAAAATTTACAGATTCAGCACTGATATGAGTAGAAAAGATGTCCTAAAGTTTAAAGGCTGAATGTAAAACTTTTTTAGTTAAGAAGTCAGTTGTTGCATAAAAATTTCCTATTTGTTTTCTTTTAAATAGGTCTTTCAGAAAAACCCAACTCACTCATATTTACAGCTTCATCAGTTGTGTTAATGTGATGGATCATGTGAAATGTAATTAACAGTTCCAGAGCTATTACCTTTGAGAAATACTTCCTTTCTACCTTCTATAATTCCTGCAGTATTGTGCTTTTTTTGACTGTAGCTAGATTCAAACACTAAATTTTCAGTGTATTTCTGTAATTTCTATTTGACTTCAGAAGGTCCTAAAGCATGTTTCTTAATTTTACAGCAGTGAGTTGCCCATTCTTTTCCTTGCTTTCTTTCCGAGGGGAGCAAACAATGGGTTATGAACAGCTCAGGATCATATCCACTGAATTCCCTTGTCTCTAGAAATGCAGAAAATTACTACTGTACTTTATTAAGTTAGTGCCAAATGTTGGGCAGTTTGGCAGTAGTTAAGCACTGGAAGCAAAAAGGAAACCTACAAGAACATTATCAGGATAAAGTTTGTCTTATTAGGATAAAAATATGCTTTAACCTTTTAGTCTTTAGAAGTCAAAAGAAATCAATGAACTAAGCAAACAGACCTCTCAGCTAGAGACTGTAAGTTCGAGGCTGTTTGGTGTTGTATAGTGTCATACAAAAACCATTGACCAGTTTATTTCACTGACAGTAGTATGGTGTTCATGTTAAGTATATCTTGAGGTATTTTGTGTAATTAGGAGCCAGGTGAGCAAAAATGCATGTCCATGCTTTGGATGCTTCAGTTATTTTAAAATATAGTTGAGAGTTTTGCCACTTTCTGGAGACTTGGAAAAACTGTTTTGATCTGAAATTAATATATTGAACTAAACTGAACTAAAATTGAACTGAACTTTTTATGTGAAATTTGCAGTTCGTCCTCTCAGCAGGGAGATCACCATGAGTCAGGCATACCAAAATATGTGCGCTGGGATGTACAAGGTAACTTATATTCTGTTTGTTAAAATTTTTTTGTAACAGGGATCATGTATGCATTGCATGCCTTTGTTTTTAGTGGGCCTGGAAATTAGGTTCAAGTTTATAATTTGATATGGTAAATTCTCCACTGCTTTTTTGTCCTTCCAGTTATAGCTAAATCATAACTTTGATCTTGCTCGCAGCAAAATATGACATAAAGCTAACACTTCTTACTGTATTTATCCTTTCCTTGTAGACAATGATCGCATTTGATATGGATGGCAAAGTAAGAAAACCTAAGTTTGAACTGGATAGTGAACAAGTTCGATATGAGCACAGGTTTGCTCCATTCAACAGTGTTATAACGCCACCCCCAGTGCACTACCTGCAATTTAAAGTGAGTTATCTTAAAACGTGGTGCTGTCCATGCTTTTATAGAAGTCATTTACTCACCTGCTTTAGACATTGTTGTCATTGTAAAAAGAGCTTTAATGTCCTAAAGTTCATACTAAAGCTAAGTCCAAATGGCAAGGAGTTCTAGCTTGGTTATGTGCAAGGAAGATACATTGCTTTGAATTCTTACTAAACTTAGATGCTTAGATTTTTTAAAATTGGTCTGATGTGGCAGTCTGAGATGCTGGTGTTGGTTTGCATGAAAATAAAATCTCTTGGAAGTCCATTGACAGACTTTTTGGCTGTGGTTAATTATAGCAGCATGTTTTTATTAGTGCAGCAAGCAAATGGAAAAACTGAAAGTAATATTGAGTGTTGGAAGGGACCAGTGGAGGCTTGTTTTGTCCAGTCTCCTCCCTGAAGTACCATAATAGATCACATTAGCTCTATCTTTGTCTGAAAAAATCAAAGGTTGAACATTTTCTAACTTTTTTGATTAACCTGATGCAGTTACTTTTTCTGTTCCATTAAGTCTTTGGATAACCTGATTGAGGGCTGTACTATTCTCCTTTTTTCCTAATGTTCAGTCTGAATTACCCAAACCACAAACTATGGCTTCTCATGTTATATTGTCTACCATTATTAACAAGGAGCCTTTGCCTTCTGGCAACTTTATAACTGTCTTTCAGGTAGTTGTAGGCTGCAATTAAGATGACCCATTAGCATCCTTTTTGCCTAACTGAGAAAGTCCAGGTCCATTGATCTCTCCTTGTGGCTCATATGCTGCAATCCCCCAGCCACCTCCATATCTCAATGTCTTTCTTGAACTGAGTGGATCCAGCCCCAGATGCAGCATTTCAAATATTACAACACAAATATGGAGTATAGGATGATAACCTTCCTTGATCTGCTGGCCATACTCCTGCTTGTTTATTCCTATACAAGGCTTGTTTGATTTGTAATAAGAGCACCTTGTTGGCTTGTATTCAAGTTGGTGTTTGCAATAACCCTGCTGCTCACCCACCTGGTTATTAGCCTCTATTATTTGGGGGGTTAGTTTGAACTGAAACAGTGCTATTTTGTATGCCAGTCACTCTTCCCAGTTTAATGTTATGAACAGCTGTAGTCGAAATTAAGACTATCATGACTTCCTCCTTGTCACTGAAGTTTGGTGGGGTTTTTTTATCCCTAGTCAAAAAAAGAAAAAGTTTAAAGAATTAAAATTACATAAAATGAAGTTTTGAACAGCTTCAGCACTTTGCTTGTGGTAACCTTGATTTGAGTAAACAATATAATATACTTTTTTTTTCTCCTATTTTTTTCCTGTAATTTCATACCCTGCTGCATGGCACTATTAAAGCAAATGAATGACAAGTTGTTGAAGAGAAAGATTTTTTTTTTTTTATAAATAATATAAGAACTTCATTGCATTTTGTAGCACTAGAAAGTAGTCACTGAGCACTGCATTGCTGCTTGGATTCTGCCATTTCATATAAATGTTTTCAACTTCAGTTTTTATTCTTAAAATAGTATTTAGTTGATGTAAGTTTTCTTGAATATAGTAATTTGCTTTCATTTCAGGTGATGAAAATAAAATTTTCTGGCAACTGATTTTAATATATATTTATATATTTCTATAACACACTAGGAAATGTCTGATTTAAATAAGTATAGCCCACCTCCCCAGTCATCAGATCTCTACATGGCAGCTAGCAAACACTACCAGCAAGCTAAAATGATTCTTGAGAATATTCCGAATCCAGACAATGAGGTAAGACTGAAATACTGAGAAAAGGAGCATTTGCTCAAACTAGTGTTTGTTTTCAGCTCGATCTGCTTGAGATCCAAAATGTACTTCATCAAAATGCTGAACAAAGCTGAGTGCTTTGATTAAAGAGTGGACAGAGAAGAATGGTGGCATCTTGCACAGTGATCTGTTTCAGTACATCAGACAATATAATCAAGGTTGTGCCCACTGCTCCCAAAGCTCTCTTTGCTGAGGATCTTAGACGCTGGATAGCAACATATTTCCTTCTTCCATATTGACTTCTAACCCCTTTCTAATAGCTGTTTTAACTGATACATGCCCACCCCACTTATCTGGAATCTACTAATTCAGATAGACTCCTGAAAGGTGGGAAAAATAGGTTTGAATATCATCAGGATGAAAAGAGCATTGAGTGTCACATGTGTTCCCTGGAGCAGTGTTCTCAGCACTGAGCTGTAAATATGGATAAGAATTTTTCCATCTTTGTCCATAGCCTAAAAGCTTAAGTGTCTGTGACTGTATTTTGGAGGAAGGAGGATGCTTTTTCTGTCACATCTGAGCAGGTTAAGAATAGTTACAGGATTAGATCCTCCTGAGCATTTAGGAATCAATTCCTGTTCTCTGGATCCTGATGGTATTCACACATAAGCTGTCTACTTGTGGCTAACCAAGATAGTTCAGAGGTAGTTTTGAGGATGTCGAGAGCACTTCCATGCAAAAAGCCACCAGTTTCATACTTGAGTTTACCATTCTCGGGGTGCTGTAATGTTTAAGATAGATGCCTAGAGTCTATCTATACCTTACTTGTGAGAGTGTTACAAAACCTGCCATAGTTGCCGTTTTTATGTTCCAGAATTTTTAAAGCAGTGGTTTCTATGATTTGTTGAATTTAATAAAAAGTGACTGAAAATAAATGCACCTTTCATTAAATTTAATTATTCTGGTTCTTTGCTTATTCCAGCAAATCCAAAACACTGTGATATCTGTTAAATTGGTCTTGTAAGAGAAATGCTGTAGTGTTAGAGTATATAAACATTAGAGTATTATCTTTGAAATAGTTTGAAATTGGTCATATGCTTTCAGTTGAAGACTTCTTGCTGTTTTGTGTTTAGGTCAGTCGAATTCTAAAAGTTGCAAAACCCAATATTGTGGTCATGAAGCTGCTGGCAGGAGGCCACAAGAAAGACTCTAAGGTAAGTAAAATATAGTATTATATACATTAGGGTTGAACTCAATGATCTTTTCCAACCTGAATGATCCTGTGATTCTATGCGAAGCCACCATAGCTCTCTTGGGAGCCAAATGAACAGATTCAAGCCATAGTTACTCTTAACTGTTAAAAGAACAGGGAAAAGAAACTTAATTCATTTTCCCCTTGGAAATAGTTTGTTGTAGTTATTTAAATATGGAAAACTCGCATCTCTAAATGTTTTGAGGAAAAAAAAATGGGAAAAGCATGTGGGACAATACAGAAAAATATGGATATTCTTCAAGAGCAGGAACAAGTATCCCGTGTATCAGCAGCTTGTGTGAACAAAATCGTGAGAGTGCTGGCTGTCAGGATTAGTGAGTGCCACTGCATGGGTCAAGGCACAGAAGGATGAAGGAACACACCTAAGAGGCACACCAGCATTCTAAAACTTTGTGGCCATCACTGCTGAATAATGATTGACATATCCAGAAATGGGTTGGAGTATTTTTCAGATAATAATTTAAAGAGCTAGGACTATTTGTTTTTCAATCTTCTGCTGTTAGGTTTTTTTTTCTGTCTGCAGGGTATTCTCATTATGAGTATCAAATGCAGTAGTACTGGTGTGTGATGTTTAAATCTTTTCTTTCTAGGTTCCTCCAGAATTTGATTTTTCTCCTCATAAATACTTCCCAGTTGTGAAGCTTGTTTGAAGGACAAGAAATTATTGTTAGGATACCTGAAGATACCTGTGTAGCAGATACCAGCCGTAAGAGGGATTATCTAGGCTTACACTCAGACTGCAAGGGACCTCCAGGATACAAGTACTGTTATGTGGAATATGTGTAGTCTGCTGCCTTCATCTGATCTGACAACTGCTGTTTGAAAGTGGTTTGTATAAAGTTTAATGCATTTTATGTGTGAAGCTGATTTTAATCAACTGTATTGTTGAAGAATGCCATACTTTAATTGATTTTATTACAGAGTTAATCATAATTTTTATTAATGTGATCTGAGAGAAAATGGTGGCTTAGGGACTGAATAAAAATCATGCAAAATTCTCCATTCAGTAAAGTCACTTAGAGAGATTGTGAGTTTCCGTATTTTTGTCTAAATTGTATCAAAATTGCTCACTTTGCAAGTAGAGAGAACGGTTTTATTTTTTCCCCACATCCTGCAAACTAAAACAATCTTTACAGAAATCAAGGGCAGATGAAAACTATGCATTTAGCTCCTACTGCACTGAATTCAGTGATTTTTGTTTTACCAAAGTCAGTTTTCTCAGAGGTGTTTTGTCTGAAATGTAGAAGAAGCCTTTGAAGACAGTGAGAAACGGAGTGATTCCTAGTTGGAGTTTGTTCCTTTGTCTTTATTCTCACGGTACTGGAGACTCTGCCCAGCAAACACTGCCACAGTCACTAGCAATAGCACCAGATATTGAGGGGTATTTTTACTCTGCAATCTGCAACTTTGTTTCAATCATGCTACTTGCCTTGGAAAGGAGGGATTGCTACTTTGTTACATCACTCAGTTCTTAAATTACCTTTTTTCCCCACTTTGACTCTAGTGGGGCTGCTAGATCCTACTGTGTTCTGTAGTGATAGACAGAGATAGATACCAAAACAGGAGAGGCCCCAAACCTCCCCTTTCCTTCCTAGAATAGTTCTGCCTCCTGTGCTTTCAGAAATAACAGAGGTAAGCTGTTGTGTTGAGCAACCTCCTACTGCAAGAGGGGAAAAAATGTTCAGAAAGGTGACTTGTTCTTTGATAAACCCCCTACTAAAGGCCAAACCATACTTAGGCTATATAAGCAAATCCTTTGTTGGACAGGACAATTCTTATTTTGGTGTAAAATTACTTCCTCTGTAGGGCTGAGCTTTTAATTCCTTCTTGACCATGCAAGACCCTTTTCTGTGTTTGCTCTATCACCTAATTTTACTGTAGAGTAATATCACTGCAGCTGCATATCCTGAGCAGCAGCACTGCTGAGGCAGAGCTTGAAAAGAATGAGGAACCTCTGAAGTGGAACACCCACTTCTCTGCCAGCAATTTGCAGCTTCTTGAAATAAGCAGAAGTACTGCCCTGAAGACATGATTTTCCCAATTTCTCTGCTAAGGAGATTGCATATCACATTACTTGTTTGCTTATCATCATGGTTAATATACCTGAATACTTCTGTGTAGCTGCCAAAGGAATACAAAGCCTAAAATATGTAGATGTAAAATAGCACTGAGAATTCATCTGGCCATCACAAAAATTTTTCTTGTCGTTAAAATCTTGAACTACATGACAGTAGCTCAAGGACAGTTTTTGATATTTCTCCAAAGCAAGCAGCCAGTAAAGGGAGAACTACATCACGTATGGAACTAAGAAAAGAGTAACAATCATCTTTCCCATTTTCACTAAAATTAGAAGTGGATGAACTGTACAGAAGAAAGCAAATACTCACTAAACAAGATAATTTTGATTTTAAAATGCTTACTTAAAAGGGCTCAGGCTTAGTTAAAAAAAAAAAAATCAAGGATGTGTTAATTTAATGCCAAGATGATCACAGAAAAGAAGTAATATCACCCTAGTTATATTCCTGTAGCACTTGAAGCCATTGCAAATAAAATTGTAGTCCTTCATGCTTTTGAACATTGCTTTTATGCAGGTTTTCAGAGGTTTACAAGTGTGCCTTGTACAAAGATGGTCTTGTTTATGGAGGACAGTGTCCAGGTGGCTCAGAGAAACCCAAAGATATACAGAAATACAGCCAAAACAGTTTTAAAAAAGAACTCTCTGGCAATATACTAATTACTCTAAGTAGTTTTTCTTTGGGATTCTTAACTTGATAATGGTAAAGCTATTAATTCAACTTGAATACAGCGTTTCACTGTGTATTTTACACTCGTAGAACATATGCTCTTTAGCAATCAATATTAAATTCCTGATCAACTTAATCTGAGAGGCATAACTGTTTACAGATAAAGTCCTATGAAAATGCTGAGAAGATGGGTAAATAATTTTATCATCCAGAATATGGGTAAACATTTTGATGTTAAAACATGCCATTATTTGCAAAAAAAAAAAAAAAAAAAGCCAATAATCCAAGTTTCCCAATACCAGAACAGATGCTCATACCTCTTCTCTTCTGCTTACAAGCATTTGTTTTTCCCTGCTGTGTTGACTGTAGTGGCCTAGACCTGTCTGACTTAGATGGTGAAAAACTATTAGTAAAAGTGTTTCTGTGTTTGGGGTTAATAGGCAGCATTTGACTTAAGCTCTGACCTTCACTTGATGAGAACTAACACTTTTTTTATACACAAAAAAGCCAACCTTCCACTTGCATATTTAGGTATCTTAAGGTTTAAGAGTTGTAAAGTAGTACACTGAGGAATGACACATCACAAAAGGAGTTAGTTACAAAATGAAAGGGAAAGTAAAGACAAATTTATATTTTCTTAAATGGAATTGTTCGTTGGCAAGTTAGGCACAGCTGTCTGCTGTCTAAACAGAGGTTGGTTCATACTCACAAAGACTGCTCTAAACACAGATGTTAGTCTTGGGAACAGACACAAATACAAAAATGCTGCAAAACAGCTGGCTACAGACATGGAGGTTGGACTGCAATAAAGGGTGCCCTAGTAGTAAGTAGAGGATATTTCTAGGTTACTGCAAGTAAACTAGTTTCTAGTTTACATTGAACAAGTTACAGAAAAGACAAGACTACAGAAAATTAACAAGATGATAGATTGTGATAAACACAGGACTTTACAACGACTACAGCTTCACCTGTAGGAGTCACTGCCATATCTTCTAAATGCTTAGTCTGGTTTACCTCCTTCAAAAGTCCAGCAGAGAGGAATATTCACATTGAACAGCTGAGATGATTGCTGTTCTACAAAGCAACTGTTTGCCTTCCTACATTTTAGCGCAAGATAGTGGTTGGGTGGACTAAAGGGTAGCACACCACTTCAGAGAGCTTCTGTCACAAAAAGTTTGTGAGTTTGAATTTTTATGCTAAACTTAGGCAAGTTAGTGGTAACTGAATCATACTGTATTACTGAACTTGTGAACAGGAGTCCAACAAAGCTTTCAGAAAAATCTTCCTGCCTAATCTCTTAAAAAGAAGGCACTATTTTCAGAATTGTTTTATTTTTTTTAACCTTGAAGCTAAGAACTCACCCAGACAGTGTAAACTAGAAACTTAATTCAGAAGGCCCAGGTGAAATATATCATTCTGTTTTCTGAGTATATTTATGTTGCAGTAAAAAAGTGCCAGAATAGGCACAAGGGTAGATTGCAGCATGGACTGTTTTTCATCCTTCCCATGTTCAGTGGCTTAGCTCCTCTTAAGTTCTTAAAACTAGGCTGGGTATTTCTCTGTTGTGCATTGCTCAGGGGAGAGATCCATCCTTGGCCAAGGACTGTTGTTCATGTACCAACAATCCACATATATCATTACTGTAGTATGACTATAGCCAACTTCAAAGTTACTACATTTATTGCTTGCTGATTTCAGTTTTATAATCAGTAGGAATGAGAGTCAGTGCAGACGTCAACTGCTTTAACAAGCCTCCAGAGATTTCAGATTGCTTTTTTCCCCACTGAAACAGTACCAAAACTTCACAGGAAGATACTACTTCATTTGGGCCGTTATTCAAGCTTCGAGAAGGTAATCAAAACATTCTCAGATCACTTTGCTCTCATCATTGCTGCATATAGATGAAGAGGTGACTAAGTTGCATCATGAACCTCCTTTGTTCACAACTGTCCTCCTTCACCGTGGTCAGATAAGTGGTTCTTCATATCTTCAGGGTTTTGAACTAATGAGGATAAAAAAGGTAAAGAAATCTCTTAAACAGGCAGAAGTGATAGTTTTTCATAAAGAAAGTTCTTCTATGTAGAAAACTACAGGAGAAATTTTGTAAAGACTATTTAATACTGTATAGTAAAGTTACAGATACCACACCCTCATGCCCCCCATTAAAGAGTAGCTTCAGTGATGCTATACAGAAAATAAGTCACACTATCAACCTGAGGGGAAGCTCAAAGAGAAAACAGAAATTAGCTCGGTATATCTTACTACAGAATACCATGCAAAATACCATCTTAAAATTTTTCAGCACATGGTATTTGGCTTTAAATGTTTTTTTTTCTTTTTTTACCATTTTCAATCCCTGCAAGTGCTGCTTGCTTGTCTGTTTCTGATTCAGCTTCATTCTCATCTAAATTGTAATCAACATCCTTGTCCTGGTTCATTGCTTCATGTTCCTGTTTTTCTGAAAAGATTTAAAATGAAGTAGTTTTATGCTACACCATAGGGTCATTGCACAGAGAAACAGTGACTGTAATCATCATCCATGTAATTTACTTTGCTGCTGAATGAATTGCTGTTCAGAGTAAGTTTTCATATTATTTTTCCTTTTGAATGTTAAATTTCACAGCAACTTTTGCTGTAAATCTTGTCTAAAGAACCAGATAAAAGCCAGAATCTTTTGGTATTTGGAAAGTGCGATAAAATTCAGCCAACACTCAGATGGACAGAAAGAAAAAGCATTGAACAATTTCAGAATACATTAAGGGACAGCCTAAGGAAGAGCAAAAGCTGAAGCCAACGCTGAAAACTTGACTGTGATATTGCTTTTAAATGTATTGCCACTACCACCAAAACGTCTCAGCTTCTGCCCTTCTTGTTTTGTCCCGCAAGGGAAAAGCTGTGAATATAGCATAAAAAAGAGAGTAGTTTATGTGCTAACCTGACACAAAAGTACTTTCCTAGAAGAGATTTTCTTCACTCAGTCATTAACTCATCTCAAGCAACTTTTATTGACTATCTTAAGATTTCTTTAGATAGAGAGCTCAACAATAAATGGAAACATTATTTCTGACTGCCAAATGACTGTCCTTATTTTTCAAATAATCAGCCAGAAAAAAACATAACAGCAGAGAGGTATAAGTATATCCCACAAGAGGTATAAACATACTCCACTCAAGATAGATTAGAGCTTCTGGTTCAAAATATTCTTAAGCCCAGCCCTCCAGTTAGTAAGTGGCTTAGAAACAGGCTTGAAAATTTAAGCTTTAAGCCTTATGTTGTCCATATTCAGACCACCACATCAAATAGATTTTTATAGTTACAGACCTAAAGCTGTCTAACTTTCAGAAGCAGCTCTTCCTGAAAGACAGAGAATGCGCAGAGAATACTGAAGAAGTATTTCTACCTTAGGGCTCCTTTGGCTACAAGGAACCTGTGCAGTAATTATGGTATTTTTGTTGAACAATCAGCCTGAAGAACATACCGCTAGTCTTTTTTGCTCACAGAAATGCAGACTTTTCACAGGCTGCATGGCAGAGCTTTTCTTTGCTCTAATTGTTGGATGATTTTTTTAACCTAATCTTTTTGCTATTTATTTCTGTTAAAATGGCAGCATTTTAGGTAACTTTTAATTACATCTCTTTGGGGTGCAGCCTGCTCTGGCCAGCATCTTTTTGGAGCAGTTGGAAAAATACTAGTTTATCAATGCTGTTAGTTTATTTATCCCTGCCAAGTTAGTAACAATGTTAACACTCAGACAACTCATAACTCATGATTCTAAGAATGTCTTTACTAGAAAACCATACACAGCATTTTTTGTGGGCATCAGTTCCTGCTCTGACTGCCATAAGGTTTTGTCTTTTGATTACTCTGGGCTACTGAGTCCACCTGAGACCAAATCCCTCTAGAAAGACAGAGGGATGTCTAGATACTGGTCAGGTTTGGATACATCAATACTCTGCTGCTCCGTGCCATGGAGATGTGATTCAAGGCCACATGGTAGATGCCAGAAACCAGCACCTGTACAACATCTGATCCATGGTTTTGCAGACTCACAATAATAAACTTCAGAAACCTGAAGTCGTAAGAGTTTTAGTCATATCTTATTTTTAAATACTGATAGCTAGTCTTTTTACAGTGTCAATGGTAATGCTAACTGCAAAACATCCATGCATAAGTAACTCTCTACTCATCCATCAGTGCTTTGAATGGTTAACACCTCATCCTTTTCAAATGCATCCTATTCTTAAAAAGCCCCAGTACCAAAACATTCTGGGGCTAATTTCCCCAAATGCCTTGTACAGCCTAATGGAGAGAAAGCCAGTAAGGCTGCTGTGGAACCCAGCCTGGCAGCTCCATGTTGCACAAACAGAAGCCTCCGTCTTTACCCATGGACTGCAGAAGACTGCTGGTGACTGACACCTTTCCCATATCACACCGACCTTTGTGAAAACTTGTAGTCAAATCTGGACAGCTGCCACTGCTGTTGCAGAAATCATGCCCTATTCCACAGTTTCATTTCTTTACTGTTCTTAACAATATTGTTCTTAACATGCTACGAACCAGCCTTTCCCAGGGACAAGTCGTCCTGCTTAGCATCGTAGTTTAGGAGCTGTTCCCTCTCAACTTCCTCACTGGCAGCCTGCTCTGGTGCTGGCTGTAACACATCTTGCCCAGCTACGTGTTTTTCATTTCCAGATGGATTTGGCTCCTTCTCTGATTCAGGTAGCATCTCCTTGTGACCTGCAGCAGCCTTGAGGGGATCTTGTGGTTTTTTCAACTGACTAAAAAGCTGCTCCTCTTCTGCCTTAGGCTCCTGTTTTCTGATGTCAGCTGGGCCATCTATTCTTTCTGAAAACAATAAAAATTATTCTGAGTGAAAAAAATAATGCCTTTCAGTCATGGCACAAGTTAAAAACCTTTAATAAGTAATGCTTTATATTTCTCATTCAATTCTTGTTTTTCCTCTGAAATAATATCTTTCAACCGCCTCAGTTCCAAAGATAAAAAGAAGATAATTCATGTTTTTCCTACTGGGAACAGCTAAAGGAGGAGACTTTGTTTACCATCATCAGATTCATGCTTCTACATCCTGTAAAATTTTGGGGTGTGTGGTTAATAACTCGGGCAAGTGAAATAAAGCAGTTTAAATAAAAATTGCGGTGTGCTATATAAACATCGGGTTTCTGTGTATTATATTTTGTTACAAACAATAAAATTGATTCTGTATTTGAAAGTAGCTCAAGACAAAGCAGTCACATAGGCAGCTTTGCAGGTAAACCACGGCAGTTCTTATTTTTAAATATGAAGAAGAAGTACAGGAGTGCTATCATTTTTTGGCAGACATTAACTTATCTTTTTTCCTGTGTATCTGCATTTGTAACTAAAAAAGATAAAATTTGCCCAAATAAACTATATGTAGATGTTGTCTTCAATTGCTAGCTCTCTAAAATTAGAGAGTTGCATGTGGACAAGATTGTAATTTAAGATAGCATATAAGAATAACTAAGTAGGGAATCGAAATTCTATCACACTACTGTGCAAGATGGACACACAAGGTCCACTCAAATTAACAGTTTCTGAAATTTAGTACCAAAAGCAATCACTAAACCATTAACTAAACCATTAGGTTAACTAACCAGATCTCCTCTGTATTATTGTCCTTACTTGCATTTTGCTCAGTGACAAGTGGGAAGCATGTACGTGTGTTTGTTTTAAGCCTAACTTTCAGCTATTCCTTAGGGAGGAGTAGCAGACTGGATGTGTCAAACTTTCTAAGCAGGCAGATTTTAAGTGTGCTTGAAAATCATGCTTTCCAAAAGTGTAGCGTATTTTCTCCATATTAAATGAGAAATATGACTCCAGAATTGTAAATATTTATATTTTCTTTCACATGCAACATGTCAATTACAACAAAACTGAACTAGTAGAAATGCCAGCAATAAAAATGCTTCAGTAGTGCCTCTCCAAGGCTGGAAAACTACCTAAAGTTCAGACTCTTGGTGTCACTTTTTTCCATCTTGATCTTGTGTACAAAAATGTTTTTAAATGTTCAATTAAATTACAACTGTTAATCAGTTGTTAGTAAGACAGTGATTTCCATCTCACCTTTAGCATTCATCAAGTCTGTCTGTCTTAGTGTAGGTACTGCTTTAGGTACATCTTCAGTGGGTTTCTGCTGTTCCAAGTCAATGTGCTTGTTGAACTCAGTTTGCTTCAAGGCTGGCAGTTGAATATTGACCTATAAAGTGAATGCACACAAGGTAAGCATTGGTCTATGTAACTGCTCCTGGATTTGGAAAGGGAAATGGAACAGAGGTAAGAATTCAGTAGGGGGAAAAAAATCCCAACACACTTGGAAATATTTGCACTGAAATTTTTTATTGGTGATGGAAGTACCACACAATTTTGAATATGCAGTAATGTTTCTATGTAACAGCATGACACATTAGGAGAATTTTAACAGACCTTCTTTATCTGCGGGTAAGAATGAGCTCACTGCTGTCGATTATTCTCTGAGCGTCACAGAACTGTAACACCCCACATTTATCCACTGTTACCCTGCTACTGCCTCAGGGTCAGCAGAGCAAAAAAACAGATGGCATTAACTACTATTAGTAATCTGTTGGGCAGGAAAACTGTGTTTGGACATAATAAGACTTCAGTTACGTAAGGCTTGTATGGGAACTGGTCCGTAACTATGCTGAATGCAGGATTAAGAAAAGAAAACATAAATTACCAACTAGACAATAGTACCTGTTTAATATCATAGAGCTTACTTAAGAATGTATTAAGTTCTGGCAGTAGACTGCTCTCAGCATCTGACCCACTTAAAGATTAAGGCTAACATATACATGATCTTGAAGATCTTCCAATTTAGCAATTAAAATTCCATGTACTGCTTTTACTCACATTGGCCTTCCTCACATGGCCATGGCCTCCCTGTATGTCAGTGGTGGCCTGTTTGCATACCTGAGGCTCCCTTCCATCTCCTCCCCATCCCCTAGATCTCGTGTTTGACAGTCCTGTGGCTTGGTGGTGTCTTCACCAGTGGATCCCCTTATCTACAGCATAGGGAACAGGGAGCTCGAGGATGCCATTAAGAAAGTGAGTCCCATATGTTTTCACAGCAATAATATTACCACCTCTCTCCATAAATGACTCCCAGATTATCTGAATTAAGTATTTTGGTAGGGGGCCGAGGGAGGGGAGTTTGTTTGTTTGTATTAAATTTGTTTGTTTCAATATCATAATTATCATTATTGCTTTGGTTGTTGTCATTAATGGTTATTAAGTTTTTTATTAAATTTTTGCATTTGCTTCACTACATTTGAGTCATGCACCATCCTTCTGTCACCTCCTACCCTGATGCTCTGTTGTGTGTCTAACACTGGCTCAGAAGGATCTCTGTAATAAAACAGGATCTCCCCAGTGCATCACTTTCAGCCTGAGCTCTTCCTCCAAAGAGGCTTGAGAAACTGCAGCACTGAAATTTCGTTTCCTCCACGTGTTCAGGACTGAAAAGCTCAGACCTCTTGAGAAACACAGGATTTGACTAACAATTCACCATTAGTTCCTGGTGAAAATGAAGGATGAACTGAGGGATGTACCCAGGGCTTTGAAAACACCCATCCTCTATGAAGGGAACCTGGAGCTGCCTGTAGAGAATGGTGATTGTCCAGCTACAGCACAGTACATTTCTAGGGTTGAATGGAGGTTGAAGAGATTTAAAAAGATGGGGTGGCCATCGTACTCCTAATGCAACCCCATACACAGCTGACCTTGCACCACTGGCTCATGTGGCATCCCTTGTAGCACCCAGGCTCTCCCCTTCACAGTCACTGCTCAAGCAGTCAGGACCCCAGCTGTGCTGACATACAGGGTTATTCTTCCCCCTAATGTCATCTCAGAAAACATCAAATGAGGGTGCAAAGCCAGGGCCAGTGGGGAAAGAGCAGAGTGGAGCTGTTTGTAGAGGAATTTATGAGAATGATCAGAGAGAAAGACTTGAGAGGAAAAAGAAAAAAAGAAAAGTTAAGCTTAGATACGATGAGGCCTGCTTGAGGTTACCTGCCTGGCGGCTCTGCATCAGTAACTTCAGTGGGACAAAGAAGCCACAGTTGATTGCTCCAAACTGATATCTGCTTACTTCCATGGTCATGGGAATCTGATGCTCTCCCAGCCATCATCAGCTCGTTGCTGCACTTCCATCATCACTTTCTACAACTCCCTGAAAGGAGGTTGCACCAAGGTGGGGAGTGGCTTCTTCTCCCAGGCAACAAGTGACAGGACCACAGGAAATGGCCCCAAGTTGCACCAGAGGAAGTTCAGATTGGATATTAGGAAAAATGTCTTCACTAAAGGGCTGTCCTTGGAATCACACTATTTCCGATAGATCATAAAGATTTAACAAATGTTGAAGCAGAGCAAAACTTAATGAGCTGGGCTAATGTTAGTTGGAGACAGCAGAAAGGTGGAGAAATACTTGAGAATTGGAAAAAAAAAATTTCAAGAAATTATCCAAACAATACCTGGCTATATTTTTTTGAATCTTCAGAGAATTCTTTGTTTTCTTTGATTTGTGGTACATCACTATCCTTTTTTGTAAGTTCATCTATCCTTTCTTCACATTGTTCTTTTAATTCTTTCATCTGGTTGATGCACTGTGACCTGCAGAAAACATGAATAAGACAGTTAACTTTCATCCACACTCTTCTGAAATGTTCTTTTGTAAAATTATATATTTTTTAAACATGTTATTATTTCCTTAGTTCTATTATCTAGGCTTACATTTGAGAAGTCAGTAGGGAAAAGTGTTAACCTAAGTCCTAAGGACAAACTCATAGTGCAGGTGGTCCAAGTTCTATTGGGAGAAATTAATTTAAACGGCTTTTGTCTGACCAGCTCAACAAGCTACATGATTTTTTTGTGTGTGTCTTCCATGAACCACTCAATTTCAGTTAAGTTAAAGTAATTTTGATCCTTGAAGCATTTCTAGTATGATAACAGAAATTCATACTTTGATTTTAGCCAAGAAGAGGAAACAGCAAAGTACTAATTGAAATAAAAAACAGGTTGTTGATCTACTGTTAGCAAACTGAACACCCTTTCTCAATATTTCAGTAAAGTGCAGCACTGCAAGACATACATTACAGAAATGGAGTTCATCAGTAGCTAATACAAGTTCCAAAAGGATATTCCCTTAAGATGCAAGCATAGTGTATCTTTTACATACTTTTAGTATTTACACAGTGCCATTAAAATCTTAACCTTTGTGACAGCAGAAGTCTTCTGTTTGCATTTCTGCATCCTGCCCTTCCCTTACAGCTCCATAACTCCAAGGTAAGTCTTGGGCTGTTGCTGCAGTGTTTTTCCTAAAGCTGCCAGGGCAGTCTTTTCCCTTGCTGTGGTTGTGCTGGAGATTCTGTGCAAAGCCCCTAGGAGTGTTGTCTATGTCAGTGTCTCAGGGGAAGTGCTGCAACTGGAGCAAGATCACCCTTTCTCCCCCGCTCTCTTCATAACTTGTAACTTTCCGTTTATATCAGAGGAAGAACAAGACCAAGACCTAGTGAGTAACAAAGCAGATAAGTATTACCCTGTAACACACAAACAGAAGGCTTATAAACTAGCCATCACATGACCCCAGCTATGCTTTGATCCCACTGCAAACAGGAACGAGCAGTAGTGTGATCAAGTGGATCCCACTGAGAAGTGCATCACATTAGAGGCAAATGTGGCGAAAAAGCACCATCATTGTCAGTACCCACTGCCCTGGAAAGCCTACCCAATCAAGAATTTTGGCTGGGGACCACACTGTTTCTTTTCCCCGCTGGTCATAGCAGCAAAAGAGTTCATTGCAGGGTTTAAACCTTTTTTCCTTTCTATCTCTCCTTTGTTTTTTCCACTCAAAAGTAACTATGTCAGCTTAAGACCCTACAAACACATCTTTCTGCATCCAAAATCTCTCTCAACATCCTTTGTACAACACCACGGTCAACACACTGCGAGTTTCTCCTCCCTTTCACTTGGACAGAAGGCGGGTAAATGTCTTCTGATTCTGGCTCTGACCAGTGTTATTGCAAGTGTTAATACCCCCAGTGTAGCAGCAGCTGGCTCAGACGGGCACATTCCAGTTTCTCAAGCTGCAAATAAGCTACTAACTAATCCAAAGGAATTCTCAGGGTACGTGCACTCATTTTTATTGCACTCTCACCCTTCTCCACCCCTGTTTTTCAAAAACAAAAGATCTGTTCTGTAGTTCACTCCCAGAAAGGAAGAACAGTAGCAGATGGCTACACTATGAACTGACGAATTAATTACCCTTATTACCATCTCTTCTTCACTAGCCATTGTTCAAAAGTTTGATTTTGCTAATGCTAATACCAATGCTAAGAATCATCAAAATAAGCAGTGCTTCCCAAGTTGGTGAACATCAGGGACAATAAAACAACATAGGCTTGACTTATGCACACGTTCATTAATTTCTAGGAAATTAAAGGACATCAGAATTACCTGTACCTCTTTGCAAGCTTAAATAAGATGCACTATACAGACAACCCAAAGTTGGCGATAATGCAGCCTTCCACAAATGCTCTTTCATCCCACATTGCAAATGAAAATGAAGTTCAATTAACATCTGTGACAAATACTCACTGTTTAAAATCTATTATCTGCAACAGAAATCACTTCTTTTAAAAGGGATTTCTGCAGATGTGAATACTCTACTCGTGCATACAAAAACTGTAGTACAGGGACAGCACTAGTTTCTGTCTCATCCGATCAACGTGACATATTTCAAATGTGCAAAACCAATGCTCTTAAATTCAGTCTCTGTGGCATGTTTTCTCCCTCACAAGATTACATAGAGCAAATTTCTGGGCGAAAGAGATCACCTGCACACACAGAAAGGAGCCCAAGTAATACCCTCCCCAGCTGCTCCCAGGACTATCACAGGAGACATCAGCCCATTCAAGACCCACCTCCATGAGCTCAAAGGAGCACAGAGGCACAAAGGTGGAGACAGCCTAAACTACAGACTCAGATCTGACAGACTGACCAGACCACCCCACAGCACATTTTGCACTAGTGGACAGCCACTCTCAGGGGAGAGGGATGCTACTGGTGTTGTCTGTGCTCCTACTTCATGTGTCTGTGTTAACCTGCGTACCTGGCGTGTACAGATGTGCTCTGCATGCACAGGGACAGATGTGCAGCCTCTCCCCTCCTGGTCTGCTGGATTTGCCAAACCCCAGCATGAGAAACAGAGTACCTTTGTTCTTCAGAAGCATATATCATTAGCTCCTTTCATACCTGCCAAGAAAGATTGCTCATGCACTCACACTCTTGCACTTGTCAGGTCTGCAAATACCAAACTAATTAATCAGACTTTTTACACGTAGCAAAATTTCCAAAGAAGTAATTACATAAAAAACAAAGCTCTTGGGAATCAAAATGCATCTGAATATTGAAATGTATTTAAAAGATCAGTCCAGTGTTTCTTTCTGGGTGCCGCAGGAGAGAAGGGTCAATGTGCCAGTCGGCCTTTGCTGAAGAAGCTCTACCACGAGCAGACAGCACTTGGCACAGTGTGCACCAAGGCTATCCCATGAAGTTGACTGCTGAGGAAAGTGCACTCCTTTTGCACGTAACACCAGCAAGTTCACATAGCTCCTGCAGACTTCTTTATGGAAAACACTAAGCTTGCTCAAAAAAAAAATGCTAAGATGAAACTTCAAGACTTGGGTACAAGAAAAAACAATGATTTTTTTTTTCTAAATTCATAGACTTTGTTCCTATGCATTCCACATGTACAACTGTTTTTACCACTACCTTCTACAGAGTAGTAACTGAATGTTTAAAAAGAGTGATCCACAACGTGTACAGTTAAAAAAAGGCATTTGACTTCTGTCATCTTTTTATAACACTTTCAATTATACAAATAATACTCTCTTCACTTTTGCACTGGGTAAACTGTACTTGATACATAAGGTGTAAACCTTCATCCATACAAATCCAGGTAAAAGAAAGAAGCACATAATCAGGTCTAATGCCCACTCCTGGCAAGGCAGACGAACAGAGAGGCAACATATCGGTTTATTTCTAATGCTGACAGGAGGAAGGCAGACATTAAAACTAACGTTTGGAATCTAATAATTTTTATTTTTCTAGGCCCATAATTGCATTGGGAAAAGCTTGTTTCTAAGCATTTAAAGTGACAGCATTAAGTGAGCATTTAGCAAAGAAGAACATACGTAACGAAGTACAATCGAATATCCATTTCTACAACTACCAGAACACAATGTAAAGTTATTTATTCTAGTAAACACAACAATGAAATATCAGTGTTCCAACATCCTCCCTAAAGGCACACAACAAGTAACATCTTAAAAATACATTTATATATGTTCCTAACAGAACTGTGTGAATGCTGCACAGTACCCAAGCTATAAATTACTTCACGAAAATTTGAGTGCGAAGTTTATTTTCCTCACTTGTATAGTTACAATAAACATCTAGAAACAGAAAACAAACATTTAGGTATTATTCAGCAAAGCTAGTGAAGAAAGCATAGCTCCTTGACTGAGATAACTGCCTTTATGGACTCCCATGGAGACACTGCAGGAAATGGTGCACCTGTCTCAGGACCAACTGGAGGTAGCTAGCTGAGTCCCTGTGCAGCTCCCACATGGCTGATTTATCACATCTGTCTCTACACCTACCCTGACAAAAGCAAACTCATGTAACATGCTTAGCTCTTCAGCTTGAGCCAGCCCTGACCTTCCATTAAATGAAGAGGGATTCCCTTTAGTACGCTACCACAAGCAGGGATGCTCTGTCAGTGATTTCCTCAACAGAGCTGAACACATTTCACCAATGAAAACATTTCACCAGATACGGGTAATAAATGAGTTTTCAGAAGCCAGACTCACTACAGTTGCTTTGTATCACTTCTCTGCACATGTTATCAATCCATTGCTTCATAGATGCACCTGTCATGTGGAGCATGACTGTACAGCACATACAGGTACCTAAGGATCCATTAATTCTTGCTGATCTCAGACTTAAAAGGAAGACACCAGCAAACAGATTCACTGACTAGCACCTGAGGTTCCATGAGTCCCAGGTCTGCCATTTAACTAAACAGCAAACAGATGGTGCTTAACAAGTGTGGTACGCAACAAGCGTAGAGAGGAAAAAGCACCTTAACAGACACATAGGCAATGTGGCTTAATGAAAAGTTGGTACAAACTGAAGTTGCCAACTTCCTTCTACTTTTCTGTTAGAAGTCTTAAATTACAACTCTGCTAATACAATCCATCTGGGTCATCATTATTAAATGAGTAATAACCAAAAAAAAAAAAAAGTCACAACCAACTGGTAATCAGTAAGCATTGCAAAAGAAGTAATAATAATCCTTCATTCTAAGGTGGGGAAAAAAAAGGAAGAAAATAGGTACTTCAAGTTTAGCCTGCAGAATTCAAGTTCTTTGATTGCCATGTTCAGCTTTTAGTCATGATTCCTACAAAATCTGGCTAAACAATGGAAAAATACCTGTCACTAAAACAGTTATATTCTTGATGGAAAATCGTTATGAGAACACGCAAACAGCAAATTCTATTGCTTTTTTTGTCTATACACCAGAGGAGAGATACAATAGAATGTGAAGGCAGGCAGAGGGAACAAGAATATTATTGAACAGAAAGAACCCAGGAGAAATTCATAGAAATACCAGAAATGTGTATTTAGGGTAAGGATACTGGTAAGTACTTTTTTTTCAGTTATCCATGCTTTATAATTCAGTGGGATGTCTCAAGAAAACCATGTGACTAGCTATGAACTGTAATGTAGAATACATGGTCTGATCAGTATGGTGCCAGAAATATCCCAAGATCTCCGGCAGCTCAGTGACATACAGCTTCTCATCAGGTACTCCCCTACCTGAATTCAAACTTCTTCAGAGTTTGGCCTCTTCATGTTTTAGTTTTCCCCCCCAACTCTTAGGTGATTATACTCCTACCTTAGACCTCCTGCAATAGAAGGAACATCAAGAAGTGTGGGAGAAGCCTGTGGATACTGAGATTCCAAGATTGCAAGGTTTACACTCTTCTCACAACTGTGAGCAATTTTAGAAGATGTGTCAGATGTTACTTTCTCCTTAAAAACGTACATTTACCAACAGTACTATAGCTAACACAAGAATACTCTAGGTTATAACCAAGTCACCTACAGCTTGGGAAGTCATCTTTTATAAAGCACATACTTACAGGTCATATGAGAACTTCCTCTGAAGGTTAGTCTGGTTCTTCTGAAACCAATAAACATCCAACTGCAGCTTTCCATATTCTGTCTGTAACTCTTTCAAGTGTTCTGATCAAAACAGGATTAAAATACATAGTAAAATACACGCAAATAAACACATACCTATACATACAACAACAGAAATCTCAACAAATCAATAGTAAGCACACTAAATTAATTCATCTGTCATGCTAACTACATTTTGCATAAAATTGAATTTATTCAACAAGGATTCTCAGGGTTGGGCAAAAATAGCCTTTCAGCAAAATATACTAGCAAAAACAGTGTAACATATCTTTTTACCTACTTTTCTTCATCAGGAATATTCTGATTTGCAAACCCTGCTAGGTTTCAGCCCAGAAAATCTTTAGGTTTATGAAATCACAGTCAGAACACAGCAAGAAACAGTGTTCATGTTTATCAGCATCTAAAGACAAGCCTACAATGCTTCCCAAAATAATATGCAATTTACAGCTACGTTCCTGTATAAGAAACAGAAACAACAGAGGCACCTATAATTTAGAGTTTTCTTCCTGATAGAAAGCTCTGCATGAGGGCACCAGCAGGCGGTACACAACATATTTACTTGTTTATAGGACTTAGAATTCATTTCCCAGACCTCCTGAGGAATACATTGCTAGTCACAGCTCTGAAGCACCAACATGAATAGAAATGAATTAGACTGAGTTTTCTTATTTAATATAGGCGTTTGTGAATTCCTCCAGAGCTAAAATGCATGACCCAACATCTAGGGAAAAATGCAAGAATATGCTGCAAAAGGTAGAATAGAGAATAAATACATTAATCTAGGTTTATTCTGTATTATTTTATATAGTAAGAGTCAGAAGTACTACATGGACAAATCCTTTTACCATTGAGGTAGATTATTCTCACACTGGCACTATGGTTCTCACTTAACTGGAACTATGCAGAAGTATCTAAGTCATCGCAGCTCCTGCACCATCCCCATGACTTGAAGAAAGGCAGCGTTCTCAGATGACCTCAGAAAGATGCAAGGCTTAAAAACAGAGGGCCTAAAAAACAGCATGAGAGAGATGCACAGGGATATTACAACATACCTCGTAGATTCTGAATCAGTCGATCATTTACTGTGATGTTTCTCAGCAGTAATGCCTGAAAGAAGCAAAACAAAAAACAGTGTTTTAACTGCAAAGGACTTGTATTACTATTAATATTATAAACAACATCTATCAAAGCACTTGTAATGATCTGTTTTTTGTGAAGTGCTCTGTTACAGTCAAACAAAAACTTTTAGCTGTTTTACAGATCTACTATTGCAAAGAGCAAACACTCATTTTAACCCAGATTCCCCACTAAAGGGGGCATGGGGAACGTACTAATGCACAGATGTAAAGAGGAAGGATTTAAAAGTTAAAGATACTAAAACTCCTTGCTGCTTTATTGTACTTTAATCTCCTTGTTCTTTAATTGACTGCAGTCACAGTCAAATTTACTGTATTTATCTCTTGAAGAAGAATACAGCATAGTACAGCTCACTATTAATTACCCTCTCACTCAGGAATCAATACACCTGCATTCAGGCATGCAAAGATGAGCTATGAAAGCATTAATGATTGAGCATAAAGGAACTTCACAAAAGCAACGTGAAGCCCTTGCATTGTATCCCTTTTCTAACTATCATCTCCACTGCTTTTGTGCTGGAGTGGTCTTCTTCCATTCCCTCATTTTGCTCTCTCTCTCATTCTGAAGAGGTAGTCAACATAGGAATATGTTTTGTCCATTCTTTCATCAACCTTCATCTACCATTTCATATACACACACGCCCCACAACACCTGAAAACTGACAGAACCAAATCAAGACTAAATGAAATTAATTGCTGTGAGCAAGATACCAGGATAACTCAAATTCATATTTAACATTTAGCAAGTGTGGTGTAGAAGAGTTCTTAAGACTACAAAAAGAAAGAAACCCACCTATTCTTCAGAAACAATCCAGTCCAGTCTTAGGAGAATATTTCTTAGGATTCAGTGCCTATTTCCTCATTATTCTTGTCCTGGGAAACCTCAGTGTTCAAGGCTCCCAGATCAGAATATACCAAGTCCCCAGTTTCCCAAAGTTTCTGCTCTAGTAGTGATGTGTACATATGTCCACACCACCCAATTGCGAAGAAACAGCAGCATCCATTCTGTCTGCCCAAGTCACCCTGAAACACTGACAACATCATCAGTGCCTTTTTTCACACAGACTACAGTAATAAGAGTTGATTAGCTGAAGTGCAGTGTTCAATCAATCTGAGTGGGCAGGCTAGCATCCAGCAGAAGAGCAGATTTGTCTTTGGTTGACCCTTTAAAGAGTCCCTGTTACCGAAGTATTTCTACACCATTCTGTATGTACAGCTGGTATGTGAAAACCACTGTGAAAACTCAAGAGCAAAGGTCTTGCTCATTTGTTAAAAAGGAAAATGAAAACCAAGTAACACTAATAACAGCATATATGTTCAATATATCTCCCTCTCCTTTCCTATAGGTAAACAAAAAAAGAATTTGCTTTTAATGGTTTATTGGAGAAAGGAAGCTAATATTTCAATGGAATTCCAAGTTTTGTTAATGCATGAACCATGTAGCCAGGTTGTTCCACGATTATCATCTTCAGGGTTGTGGCAGTTTGAGCCACGTTAGAAATCCAAAAAAAATCCAATTTTCAAGCTTTCCCCCACTCCTTATCACAATGTATCCTAACATCGGAGAGAAACTTTCAGGCCAGAGGCTTCTGTAGGGGAAGGGGGAAATATATACATTTATTTACACAAATAAATACTATACAAACCAAAGGCAACTATATATATGTCGCTGATAATGTCAGAACTGCCAAAGCGACACAGGTATCAGACGTAGTCCAGGTGTAAGGTGAACAGGAAGCTGTTTATTGCTCTCAAGTGTTTCTTTTATATTCTTTGTACACTATCGTGCCACAGTACAATTGGTCAAAAGTCTCAAGCATAAAAAACTGTAGACACTGCACACACTCTTATTGGTGACACTGAAGAGACTGTCCATGCTGTGACATGCTATTGGTGACACTATACACATTTTGATTGGTGACCTTTGGTCTGGGCTGCATTAAGTTTGTTCTGTCTGGCATTACAGTAAATATTTCCTAAAAGTTGTTAAAATTATCATCACTAATTGCCAGACTGCTGACAGGTTCTCTGTCAACCCCGACATATATATATATTACATTACTATCAGTCAGTCCTTTCAAGCCCCTCCTTTAACTTTAGTCCAGGAGCAGCCTTTAAGGCTGATATGTAACAGTCTGCCATGGGAGTGTTCTGGGCTCCTGAACACTCCCCCCTCACCAAGTCCAGCAGTTGTTTGTTGTAGTCTCTCCTCACGAGGTCTAAGAAGATAGCTTTGAGTCCTTGCTCTCCTGCTGCTGGTGATTCCTCCCTCTCGGTGTCCCACCTTGGTTCATAGGCTGCTGCAGTGCAGCTTATCAAGCACCCACATCCTAGAATCTTCATTCCTCCACGTCAGTTCTCAGCTGCCTCTGGTCAGCTTCGACAGGCAACTCTCAAGCTCTTGGCCCATCTCCAATTTCACCTGGGACTCTTCTCCCAAGCACCAAGCTGATTTATCAGCCTGTCCACTTGGCTCTGGTCAAAATGCTGAGCCTTAAAATCCACCCCCCACCAGCCTAAATGCAGTGGGGGGGGAAAAAGCCCCCTAGCCTTGGCCACAGGCAGCTCGGTTCAGTTGGGCACTGTCCCAAGCGTCCCGCAGCTGCAGGGGGGGAAAGAAGGCCTACCCTCCTCCCTCTTACCTCAGGTGCTGTGAATCTCTTCCTTCACAGCACACACTCCAAATGCTGACTCTAATTCTAACTCTCCCCCCTGGAGGGGAAGAGAGGGAGCCCAGCCACCCCCTGGCCTTGTGCATCTACACCCAGCAGACACCAACAGCAAATAACAACCAAGACTGCAATGCCAACCATTTCTGGTGCTGTGAGATATGATTTTGAGCAGAAGTGAACAACATGGACAGTGACTGGCTCTCCAGGGAACACTGCCCTGGCACCCAATCACCTCTGAGCCCCCAAACTCTCAAGGGGGGCCAATTTCAAACTATGACAGGGTATACAGCATTGGCCATTACTAGAAACTGTCAACGGACCAGGAAAATCAGTAGGATGTAGCAATTTTATGTTCCTACAGTTTGTTGTGCTTTGGTTTTTTTGGTTTGTTGGGTTTGGGGTTTTTTTTGGTTGGTTGGTTGGGGTTTTATTGGAGTGGAGCTTTGTTGGTTGTGGAGTTTTTTCTTAAAATGAAACTCCCAAATACCAGGAGTGCTTATGTGACAGCAAAACAGACAAGTGTCAAATATTTTGCACATCTGGACAATAATAACTGTGATTAGCTGAAGTGAGTAGAATTATTTGCCATGTATTTGCTCTTTGAATCACAACAGGGGAAAAAAGTGCGTCTTGGTCTTTCTGGATTGCATATAAAACTTTCTTTTGGCAATGCCACACCTATCTCCCTGAATGTGTGGGCAAGAGTCCAAGAAAAAAGTAATAAAAATCCGGTTAGCTGTTTAACTTGAGCAGGAAATACTGTTTAATAATTTATAGGACCATATTGCAACTGCCAGCTTCCAATCTGACTGTCGCTCCAGTGTTAAGTAATCTTCACGTCAAGGCTGTGAATTAAGCAAACATTGTTTTCTTTGGGGTTTTTATGCAGGTCAAGAAAGAAAACTGCTGGTAAGCACTGACCAGACATATGGCAATACTCAGTTCTAGAAAGCAACTCACATTTTAAACTTTATTTAGCCCACAAAACAATAGCTATCATCCCCAGAAAATCCAGCTTTTGGAAAATAACTGTATCACCACATCAAAATCTCATGTTTTGTGACAGAGTGACTCTGAAACATAGAACCAGCTTCTTATATTTGCAAATATGTCTTGCACAAAAGTCCCTGTGATTGCCACAGAGATAAAAATCAGTCTCCTGACTGAAGACAATGTTGTGGACAGCAAGTCTTCAGAAACCAAAAAATCAAAAGTCACACTTCCACCAGCAGTGAGGGAAAAATCTTGCTCCAGCTGTATGGCAAATTTTTTAATGACAACTGACAGAGATTTTGTCATTATTATTCACCATAGAACATGTCTACATTAGTCACATTCCACTTAAGAAACACAAGATAAAGTTACTGTTTAAAAAAACCCAAAAACATAATGCAGAAATACACATGAGGGAGATTATTTCAAAACCTATGTTTTGAGCACATGCTCTGGACTATGTACATGCATTTGATCCAACTAACACCTTACACAGTATTCTCCATAGATATATGCCTTGGAGGAATTACTACAATTACTCCTTCAGCATTTGCTACAATCATAAATCAAGCTAATCCAAGTACACCGAACTGACATGTGCTTTCTAACTGACTGCAGGTGCTGTATATAGAAGCATGAGATACTGCAACAGGAAAAAGAATTAAAACAGCAAAGAACCTGATGAGCGTAAACACTGATTTTAAAACTAACACTTAAGAAAAAAAGGGCTTTGAACTTACAAATATAGCACAAAGGAGACAAAGATGAGCCACAGGATCAGTAACTCACCTGCTAAGAACAAAACCAACTGGGAACAAAGCAAGATGGGAGGCTAAGATTTATATATGCAGAAACAGACATCTATAATTAATCAGGGAGAAGCAGGGCATAATTAACTCGAAGTGATTTAAGTCCTTACTGCAAAGAAAAAGAGTAGACCCATCTCACATGTTCCCACTGCTCCCCAACACCATGATGGTATTAGCACCAAAATAATGTTGGTAACACACCGATGCTTTAGTTGTTGCCAAGTAGTGCTTACCCTGAGTCAATGCACCAGTGAGCAGGTGCATAAGAAGCCAGGAGGGAGCACAGCCAGGACAGCTGGCCAAAGAGATACTCCACACCACAGAATGTCATATCCAGTATATAAACTGAGGGGGTTGGTCGGGAGGCATTGATCACTGCTGGGGGATGGGATGGGCATTTGTCAGCTGGTGCTGAGCAATTGTATCGTGCACCTCTTGTTTCTCTTGGGTTTTATTCCTCTCTCTCTCCTTTTCATTACTATCATCATTTCATTTTG